GGTGTTGGTTCTGGAAATGGGTCGGTTAACCTTCCATGTTCTCTGTTGGGAGCAGCAGCCAATGAGGTCGAAGCACTGCCAGACGTGTCAGCACTGCGTCCGTCGCTATGACCACCACTGCCCCTGGATCGAGAACTGCGTGGGGGAGCGGAACCACCGCTGGTTCGTCCTGTACCTGGCCGTGCAGCTGCTGGTGCTGCTGTGGGGTCTGCACATCGCCTGGTGAGTTCACGCCCATGTGAAGGTCAGAGGTCGTCGGTCGAGATCGCTGAAGCCTACGCTTCTCTCCTCAGGACGGGCTTCAGCCACGCCCCCTCCTGGTCGCCGTGGCTACGCTCCAACGGCGTGCTCCTGGCGGTCTGCCCGCTCCTGGCTCTGCTGGCGCTCATCGTGCTGCTGCTGCTGGGCTCCCACCTCTACCTGATCTCCATGAACATCACCACCTGGGAGTTCATGTCGCGCCACCGCATCTCCTACCTCAAACACTGCGGCGCCGACGAGAATCCGTTCGACCGCGGAGCCGCACGAAACCTGTGGGGCTTCTTCTGCGAGTGGGGCAGCGTGGCGTGGGAGCAGGTCTACTTCAGGGAGGGAAGCGACCCGGTTTAGTTCAGACCTGCTCCTGGTGACGGATCATCAGCACCGGTTAAAAGTTCCGTGCTTCTGCTCTGTCAGTCAGACTGGATCAGATGTTGAGGCAGAAACTAAAATCCGGTCTTTCTAAAGTCCGAGTGTCGGTCTAGTTTCAGCTGTTTGGAACAGAAGAGAACTCATGCTGACTTGCAATAGTTGAACCAGCTCTGTCTGCCGACCCAGATTTATCATTCCGGTTCCTTTGTCCCCAACAATCCAGGACCTACAGCTCCTGCAGTCTGGTCCGTTTTCTCAGGATCCTCCCCAACAGGAGATAAACTGGAAATAAGGTTTATTCCCATCCAATCATACGAACTGAGAAACAGGAAGTCAGCATCAAATGAAGAGTCCTTCCATTTGCACTAAGTAATCTGGGAACACCTGAGTTTCAAAGACTGGATTAATTTACATTTTCCTGATAAATGAAACTACGGAAGATGATTAGGGCCACTGAAAAAAAAAAAAAGAGTTAACTGATTTTAAAATTTTATTTCAGTTTAACTTGGGGGGAAAAAAGTCAGAATTTTTCTCAATTCTGACTTTTTTCTCAGAATTCTGACAGCTAACAAACATGTTAGCATCAAGCCATAGCCATGTCTGTTTTAGAGACTAGCTCTCTTGTTTTAATGACCTTCTGCTCCTCCATTAATGAGGGGACCCCTCGGGCACGTAAAAAGTTGCCTAATTCCGTCATTTTCCACCAATGTGTCACTGGCCACCTCAAACAACTCACATCTTTGTCAGTGAAGCTGAGTGCTCCACATCTCTTCCTTCATGGTGCCCATCTACATTAAAATCCAGAATTCTGAGATTAAAGTCAGAATTCTGGGAAAATAATCAGAAAAAAAGTCAGAATTCTGAGAAAATAGTCAGAAAAAAGTCAGAAATCTGAGAAAAAAGTCAGAAATCTGAGAAAAAAGTCAGAATTCTGAGATTAAAGTCAGAATTCTGAGATTAAAGTCAGAATTCTGAGATTAAAGTTAGAATTCTGAGAAAAAAAGCCAGAATTCTGAGAAAAAAAGTCAGAAATCTGAGAAAAAAGTCAGAATTCTGAGAAAAAAAGTCAGAAAATAGTCAGAATTCTGAGATTAAAGTCAGAATTCTGAGATTAAAGCCAGAAATCTGAGAAAAAAGTCAGAATTCTGAGAAAAAAGTCAGAATTCTGAGAAAAAAGCCAGAATTCTGAGAAAAAAAGTCAGAAAATAGTCAGAATTCTGAGATTAAAGCCAGAATTCTGAGAAAAAAAGCCAGAATTCTGAGAAAAAAAGCCAGAATTCTGAGAACAAAAGTCAGAAAATAGTCAGAATTCTGAGATTAAAGTCAGAATTCTGAGAAAAAGTCAGAATTCTGAGATTAAAGTCAGACTAAACTAAAATAAAATTTAAAAATCAGTTAACTTTTTTTTTTTTTCCAGTGGCCCTAATCCTCTTCTATGGAAGCCCGTTTCCGCCACTCTGTAAAAAAAAAAAAAAAAAACTATCTCAATATAATGAGATACTATCTCATTAAAATGAGATAGTATCTCATTATAATGAGATAGTATCTCATTATAATGAGATAGTATCTCAATATAATGAGATAGTATCTCATTATAATGAGATAGTATCTCATTATAATGAGATAGTATCTCAATATAATGAGATAGTATCTCATTTTAATGAGATAGTATCTCATTATAATGAGATAGTTTTTTTTTTTTTTTTACCAATTTTTTAAGTTAAAATTGAGTATTTTTGGTCAATAGCTCCCAGGTCATGTGACCTATTGATGCAAAATCAGTGTGAAATTGTTTTACTAGTCTCTGTAGATGGGGCACACTCATTTGTTTTTCATTTTAACTCTTTTTTTATTTTTTAGCAATTTTTTAAGTTAAAATTGAGTATTTTTGGTCAATAGCTCCCAGATCATGTGACCTATTGATGCAAAATCACTTGGAAATTGTTCTACTAGTCTCTGTAGATGGGGCACACTCATTTGATTTTCATTTTAATTCTTTTTTTTATTTTTTAGCAATTTTTTTAGTTAAAATTTAGTATTTTTGGTCAATAGCTCCCAGGTCATGTGACCTATTGACCCAAAATCAGAGTGAAATTGTTCTACTAGTCTCTGTAGATGGGGTACACTCATTTGTTTTTCATTTTAATTCTTTTTTTTAATTTTTTTTAACCAATTTTTTAAGTTAAAATTGAGTATTTTTGGTCAATAGCTCCCAGGTCATGTGACCTATTGACCCAAAATCAGTGTGAAATTGTTCTACTAGTCTCTGTAGATGGGGCACACTCATTTGTTTTGCATTTTAACTCTTTTTTTATTTTTTACCACATATGGACACCCTTATGCTTGAACATGGTGTTCGTTATGGACAATCCATGACGAGCACAGAAGTCCAACAACAGAACACCACTCGAGTTCAGATCGGGGCGACCATTCCTCCCAACCATGCCCCTCCAGGTCTCACTGTCATTGCCCACGTGAGCGTTGAAGTCTCCCAGCAGAACAAGGGAGTCCCCAGGAGGAGCACCCTCCAGTTCTCCCTCTAAGGACTCCAAGAAGGGTGGGTAATCTGAACTGTTGTTTGGCCCGTTAGCACAGACAACAGTCAGAACCCGTCCCCCCACCCTTAGGCGGAGCCCTCTCGTTCACCGGGATTAACCCCAACGTACAGGCCCGAGATGGGGGGCAACAAGTATGCCCACTCCTGCCAAGCGCCTGTCACTGTGGGCAACTCCAGAGTGGAAGTATGTCCAGCCCCTCTATAGGAGACTGGTTCCAGAACCAGAACCATACGTCGAGGTGAGACAGACTATTTCTAGCCGGAACCTCTCAGCCTCACACACTAGCTCCGGTCCCTTCCCACCAGCGAGGTGACATTCCACATCCCAAGAGCCAGCTTCTGCAGCCAAAGAACGGACCACCAGGGTCCCCTCCCCCGGCCAACACACATTGCATACGACCCTTATGGCCCCTCTCACGGGTGGTGGGCCCATGTAAGGGGAGACCCAACAATTCACACTGATTTTGGGTCAATAGGTCACATGACCTGGGAGCTATTGACCAAAAATACTCAATTTTAACTTAAAAAATTGGTAAAAAAATAAAAAAAGAGTTAAAATGAAAGACAAATGAGTGTGCCCCATCTACAGAGACTAGTAGAAAAATTTTACACTGATTTTGGGTCAATAGGTCACATGACCTGGGAGCTATTGAAGAAAAATACTAAATTTTAACTTAAAAAATTGCTAAAAAATAAAAAAAGAGTTAAAATGAAAAACAAATAAGTGTGCCCCATCTACAGAGACTAGTAGAACCATTTCACACTGATTTTGGGTCAATAGGTCACATGACCTGGGAGCTATTGACGAAAAATACTCAATTTTAACTAAAAAAATTGGTAAAAAAAATAAAAAAGAGTTAAAATGCAAAACAAATGAGTGTGCCCCATCTACAGAGACTAGTAGAACAATTTCACACTGATTTTGCATCAATAGGTCACATGACCTGGGAGCTATTGACCAAAAATACTAAATTTTAACTTAAAAATTGGTAAAAAATAAAAAAAAAACTATCTCAATATAATGAGATAGTAACTCAATATAATGAGATAGTATCTCATTATAATGAGATAGTAACTCAATATAATGAGATAGTAACTCAATATAATGAGATAGTAACTCAATATAATGAGATAGTAACTCATTATATTGAGATAGTTTATTTTTTTTTTTTTACAGAGTGGCGGAAACGGGCTTCCATACTCTTCCGTATGAAACAGATTTAAATCTTTATCCAAGTTGTTTTTTTTGGCGTTTCCTCATTAAAAAGGTAAATTTAGATGTTTAAATGGTTCAGTTTTGTTTTTCTATATCAGACTGTTTTAATCCCAACAGGAAGCTGACTGATGCACTTCCTGTCAGAGAACGACTTGTTTTAGCCGCATGTCCGACTTCCTGGTTGATCCGTTTTTTAAGCTGCATGTTTGACGGTGTTTTTAGTCTACCGGGTCTGGATTTATCCCCAGAAGCGTTCTTACATTCCCAAGTGCTGTTCAGGTTTTTCTACCCGTTTTTAACCAGAGTCGCTGTTTAGATTTCTAATGACGATTTAAAGGTGCAATAAAAAGGCTTTTCCCACATTTGAACTTTTCCTCCTGCAATAGGTCCCTGATGAGAGCAATAAATGTGCAGCATTTGTCATGTTGGAGTTAACAGAGCTGCTGTTTGTACAATTATTAATCCTTTATTTATATATCTTTCTATACTAATGGTCTTATTTACAAAGAGTAAATATGTTGTGCATTTCTGACTATTATGCAATACTGGAGTGTTTTTTTTTTATACCTCTGAACAAAGAAATAAAGACGTCACTGATGAGAAGTTAAAGTCCAGCTTTTATTTATATATTGTCACTTTAAACGCAGGCTGGTGGGTTTCATACATCATCTTCCTCACATCTACATTTCAGCAGAATAATTTAAAACTATCAGATACATTCAGAGATTTTGGCCTTCAGGGATATTTACAGGTTAGACAGAGAGCAAAGTGCAGCGTTCCAGTGTAAAAAAAAAAAGAAAACCTTCAGAGAGCTTAAAAACCATCAGCAAACTGGTCAGCTGATCAGGGAGAAGTCAAAGTCGTTGAAGACGTCCTGCTGATCCGCTGTGACGACGCATGGCGTCCGAGGCAGCGTCAGAACCGGCTTCAGACGAGTGAACTCCTCGTCGAAGTTGCTGACGTCCTGCGGCGCTTTGATCGCCGGCAGGAAGGGTGGCTTCATCTTCTTTGCCAGGAGGGCGTCCCAGTCCATTCCCTGATGGGAGAACATCCAAACAGAACCCGTTCAAAGTCCAGAAAACAACAGGATAAAAGGAAGGTTGCTGTCCGTAAACTGAACAGGAACATTAAACTGCACATTTTCTTCACCAATCAGAGGAGCCTGATCAGTGGGAGGTTGCTCCTCCCCAAATGCAGGACCAAAAGCCTGCTGAACTCCTTTGCTCCCCAAGCTGTACAACTTTTCACTTGGGGGAAGGAGGAGGTGAAGAGGGAAAAAGGTCAGCTCCCCCCTCCTTGGACATATTACCTATTGTCAATCATGTGCAATATTCTTCTCTCTCGCTGTGCAATAACACAGCGGTCCCCAACCACCGGGCCGCGGACCTATACCGGGCCGCACAGAAAAAAGTATATATATAATTTATCGACGATCAGAGTCTGAGTGATGTTTATTTTGAAAAATATTAAAAATTGCGGTATTCTCTCCCAATTACATCAGTCGATGCATCTGTGCCTCTTGACACAGGTTAAGACTCATCCTTTCTATAACATCCTATCTTTGTGAAGTGGGATTTTCTGCGGTTACAGCGACCAAAACAAAGCTACGGAGCAGACTGGACATCAGGAGCACACTTCGGGCGTTTCTCAATATGCGTTCTGGAGCGTGCTCGTGTACTCGTGACACGTCATCAGCCTCAGCCCGAGTACCGTTCCAATTCTCGAGAACGCCAGATCAGGAACGCATCAAATGTTGTTCTCGCCCCGCCCTCTTTATCGAGCATGCATCAGAGCAGACTTGTGCGTTCTTCAGACTGACCGCTTCCCCAGAATGCCCCGCGGCCGCAGCTTGATTCCAGACAGCGCTCACAGTGTTAAGTTAAACATTCCCTTTTCTGCTGCTGTTGTTCTTCAAAAGTACGTTTTGAAATCGTTTGAGGCGATAACATTATACATTGAAGCCTCCCTGTGTGGTCTGTTTACAGAGTTAGTGCGAAATTTAACAGTCCGACGTTGAGCGGACCAGAGTGACCAGCAGACCTCCGAGGGTAACCGCAGCCAGGGCTAAATTTACCCCGTCTGTAGTGCACTTCTCTCGGTCTAGTTATGTGTAAACTACCGCTCGTTCTGATGGCGGTTTTTTGCGGTTCGGTAATTTTTTTTAAGCTTTAGAAATTAAAAATATTGTTTTCAAAATGTTTTGTGTAGGGAATAAATAGTTTTGACTGTTAAAGAAATGCTAAAGAACGTTGCCTGTGATGACGTCACGAGTACGCTTCTGCTCCAATACACATACGTGCTTGCGTGCTCGCGTTCTCGTCAAGTCCGATCTTCCTGCGTTCTCGCCAAGAACGCGAGTACGTACTCGCGTTCTCGTGAATTGAGAAACGCCCTTCGTCTGACATTTTCTCAGATTACGCCTAGATGGGACCGGCTTGTTGTTTTATTTTTATGCTATTTGAATTAGATTTTATTTTATCATTTTACTTGATCGTATCACCACAACCACCGCCCCCCCACCCCCGGCCGGTCCGTGAAAATATTGTCTGACATATAGCGGTCCGTGGTGCAAAAAAGGTTGGGGACCGCTGCAATAACACATGCCAACCACTGTGCAGCCTGTGTAGTTTTTTTTTTTACTCAATTATACGTTACATCTCTGCAGTACAGGCGCAATAGTCCAGGTCAACTACTATGTAGTCTTCCCTTAGCTCTCTACTGTGCAGATATTTTTATATCCAAGTAAAACATATTCCAGGACATTACAGCTTTTTTCTTTTTTATATACTTTCTTGGTACTATATACACTCATATTGTTTGTTGTATTTGTATCATTTTTTTTTTTTTGCTTTTTTTAGTTTTTACAGCACAAGTGGCTCGTTTTTTCTTCAGTAGGCTGACAGGAAAGGGGGAATGAGAGAGGGGGAGCAAAGAGAGACATGCAGCAAAGGACCACAGGTCGGATTCGAACTCTGGGTCGGCCGTGTCCAAGACTAAGGCCTCCGTACATGGGCTGTGCACGCTAACCGCTGCTCCACCTGCACACCTGCATTTTTATCTTTAATGACATCTTGCTTCAACTCTTATCCTCTATAAGCTACTGGAACCAGAATTTGCCTGAAGTACTAATCCTAAGGGATACCGTAATTTTCGGACTATAAGCCGCACCTGAATATAAGCCGCAGAAGCTAAATTGCATCCAGCCATCCATCCATCTTCCTCCGCTTATCCGGGGTCGGTCGCGGGGGCAGCAGCTTAAGAAGGGAGGCCCAGACTTCCCTCTCCCCAGCCACTTCTTCCAGCTCTTCAGGAGGAACCCCAAGGCGTTCCCAGGCCAGCCGAGAAACATGGTCTCTCCAGCGTGTCCTGGGTCTTCCCCGGGGCCTCCCCCCGGTGGGACGTGCCCGGAACACCTCACCAGGGAGGCGTCCAGGAGGCATCCTAACAAGATGCCCAAGCCACCTCAACTGGCTCCTCTCGACGTGGAGGAGCAGCGGCTCTACTCAGAGTCCCTCCCGGATGAGCTTCTCACCCTATCTCTAAGGGAGAGCCCAGCCACCCTATGGAGGAAACCCATTTCGGCCGCTTGTATCCGCGATCTCGTTCTTTTGGTCATGACCCAGAGTTCATGACCATAGATGAGGGTAGGAGCGTAGATCGACCGGTAAATCGAGAGCTTCGCTTTTTGACTCAGCTCTCTCTTCACCACGACGGACCAATCCGCCTGTCGATCTCCCGAAATTGCATGATTTATACATATACAAGCCGCACCGGACTATAAGCCGCAGGTTTTTTTTATGTTTAAATACCATATGGTTCGTGCACAGAGAGGATTGTCTGGAAAGAGGCAACTGTTTGGGGAAGCTCCTACTTATTAGCCTCGTGAGACCATCCTGATCTCGCGAGCTTTCAAGGTTTCACTCACTAATCAGTCTGGCTACTTTCCGTTGAAGAAAATTTGGAGCCGTTCACCAAACGAACGTCCAATCAGCGTTGGCTTTGAGGCGGGTTGAGGTGTGACGCAACGAGAAGCGCGACAGTTCAGTCTAAAGAACATGGCGGCTTCAGCCGATGAAACTAGCGTTAGCGTGGCTATCGAGCAAGTTTTATCGGAATTACAGAGTATTTCTTCACTGAAAGAAGAGCAAAACACTGCTCTGGAGGCTTTTCTCAGAGGAAAAGATGTTTTTGCTCTTCTCCCGACTGGTTTCGGCAAGAGTTTGATCCATCAATTGGCTCCTCTTCGTCGTCGCTCTGTTAGTACGTCATATGCTTCTTTGATCTGATTGGTTTATTTGGCCCGTCTACCACCAACATAGGCCAATCAGCTAACCAGTATTTTCACCCCTTCCCAAAATTACTTCAACGGAAGGTTTCCAGATGGATATGCAGAGCAAATCTATCTGGCGGAGTCAGGTTACCTATTTATTACAATTTCAACACAATTGAATTGAGACAATTCTTCCTGCTGGCGTCTCCAACGTCTCACCATTGACTCGTTGATTCCAAGGTTACGTGCAGCGGTTCCATTTCCTTCGTTTACTGCCAAATTGGACTGCCTTTAACTTAAAAGCTGAATCATATGCATTTCAATGTTTGTTTTCCATAATCAGGGTATCACACAAACTGTCTTCGCTCGCAATGTCCGTCTTTCTCAGAGTCTGCTTCCGGAGATACGGTATTACCCTAGTGGCCGTTAGCTGTAAAAGTCCATAGATAAGCCGCATTGTTATATAAGCCGCAAGGTCAAAAAATGGGAAAAAGGTCGCGGATTATAGTCCGAAGACTACGGTAAATAAAGTTGAGTCTACAGCTGGATTAAATCTATTCTGACCGGTTTAGTCCAGTTAATCTCAGTCACGAAATACAATCTAGTTTATTTAAAACCATTTCATTAAATCAAGCTCATCTTTTCAAGCCATTCTTTCTTAGATAAATACTTTAATGAAATGTTTCATAGATAACCTTAAAAAAAATGGTTAAAGTATGAGGTGTCATCATGGTACGGGATTATTGATCATCCATTCTGGGACTATGTGGGATTAAAGAGACCAGGTTCTGCAAACACCTACCTGAAAGAATTGGTGTCGTTTGATCTCGGCGGCGTCTTCCTCTCCGGATCCCAGTCTCAGCTCTGGATCTTTCTGCAGCAGCTGGAAAAGTGAAAAATGCCGTGGAATGAATAAGACCTCAGCCGTGAGGAAACTTTGAATACTGATGATCGGATCAGACAAACCTTCTGCATGAGAGACGCTGACTTTTGGGAGAGGGAACGCGGGTACCGCACTTCTTCATTGACGATGCTGTCGAACACTTCCTCCTCATCGTCACCTGGGAAAGGAGACTGGAAACAGAACAGAGTTCTCCTTAAACATCATAGCACAATATTCTCAGATCAGGTTTCTGGTTTCACTCACCTCCCCCACCAGCATCTCATAGATCAGAACTCCCAGTTCCCACCAGTCCACACTGCGGGTGTAGCTGTTTTCAGTCAGAACCTCTGGAGCCAGAAACTCTGGGGTGCCGCAAAAGGTGTTGGTCCGATCCCCATGGCCCATTCCTGCACACAGATGTTCTCATAAAGGACTACAGACCGGTTTATATGCACCACAGAGTTACACTGATCTGATCTCAATTAGAAAAAATGAAAACAATAAAAAATAAATAAAACACAAATTTCCTCGGCAGCACAATATATTTTAGATTAAATCTGTTCTTAATTCATCTGCTGAGTCTTTGGGTCCCTTCATGGTTATTATAACAAGGACAGAAAAACCTCAGTGGTGATTGGAAAGAGAGAATAGAACCTCAATGAGTAAAAATGACAGGAATTACCAACGCAACAAAAAGAAGGGAATAACCAAGGCAACCAGTGTGACCGATAAAAATACCATAGCAAACAGAAAATAAAATCACATATACCAGCACATTGTGAAAAACCACCTCACAGGGAGAATCACTATAGCAAAGATATAAATGGGTAAATCCACAAGGCAGCCATTAAAAGGGAGGGAGAAGATACCATAGCAACCAGTACACAGGTAAGAATCACAACATCAATTGCACTAAAATCACCATAACAAACATGCAAAAGGGAAAATCACTATAGTAACCAGTCTGAAGGTTTCCCCTTTGCACAGGTTGCTATCACCATAGCAATTTGTGCAAAAAACTGAAAAAAAAACAACATACACATATATATATATATATATATATATATATATATATATATATATATATATATATATATATATATATATATATATATATTTTTTTTTCTTTTTTTTTTTTTTTTTTGATAGATGTGGCAATCCCAAGCGACAGCAACATCAAGAAGAAAGAACACGAGAAGCTTGAGAAATACCAAGGGCTGAAGGAGGAGCTAGAAAAGATGTGGAAAGTAAGAGCAGCAGTGGTGCCAGTGGTAATTGGAGCACTGGGGGCTGTGACCCCCAAACTGGGAGAGTGGCTACAGCAGATTCCAGGTAAAACATCAGAGGTCTCTGTCCAGAAGAGCGCAGTCCTAGGAACAGCTAAGATACTGCGCAGAACCCTCAAACTCCCAGGCCTCTGGTAGAGGACCCGAGTTTGAGGATGACACATACCACCCCACGAGGGGTGAGAAAACATTTTTATATATATATATATATATATATATATATATATATATATCTCACAATATTGTAATATCACTATATATTGCAATATTTTACCCAGCTATCAAAATTAAATGTATAGATAAAAAAGCAAGTGCAGTATATGTTCTTCAGAATCCATGTTGTTAGCAGTGTTGCCAACTCAGCGACTTTGTCGCTATATTTAGCGACTTTTCAGACCCCTCCAGCGAGGGGTCGACTCTTTTTCAAAAAAGCGACTGGCGACAAATCTAGCGACTTTTCTGGTGTCTGCCGTGGGGCGCCTCCCCCCGTCCCAACCCTGTTTTCCCACTTCAGCAGATGTCCCTCTCAGCGCTACAGTCAGAGACACAGATGTGTTCCCTCAGCGTCCAGACAGCAAAAGAACCGCGCGCATGCGCCGGGTTTGACGGCACAGGTTGATCACTCTGGAGTCAGCTCCCTCAGTTGCTGAGCCTGCCATAGAGAGCCTTGACCAACATGATCATGATCCACTCTTTCTGTGAGCAGGCAAGCACAGCCTGTGTGTACAGGGAATTCTTATTAGTTAAAAAAAAAAACAATAATTAACATTTGCTCACATTGTCATTGATTCTTTATAGTCTTTTTTCCCATTTAGATTATTAATGTAATGTAAAAATAAAATGTTATGGTTCAAAATGTTCATGTTTTAGCATGATTTTTAAGGTCCTTAGTGGAACACAAGGGAAAAAAGAAAAAGTTAAATAAAAAAAAAAGTTGAAAAAAATATATATATATTATGCAAATTAGGCAATGACGTCATTCAGCGACTTCTAGCACAGCCAATAGCTACTTTCCTTTCTGAGGAGTTGGCAGCACTGGTTGTTAGGAGATTGAGACAGTCCACGTCTTCCACTGCGAGAGAAATGGTTATGCTCCACGGCGCCATCTACCAGAGTACGGGTGCAGAGGTAGCCCATTTCCCCTCATTGTTTTAGAACTTTGCTTTTTTAATCGATATTAGAAACTGAAAGATCCATATTTCATTGGGCACCCAAAAATTACGATATACAGGTGCTGGTCATAAAATTAGAATATCATGAAAAAGTAGATTGATTTCAGTAATTCCATTTAAAAAGTGAAACTTGTATATTATATTCATACATTACATACAAACTCATATATTTCAGATGTTTATTTTGTTTAATTTTGATGATTACAAATGACAACAAATGAAAATCTCAAATTCATCATATCAGAAAATTAGAATATTACTGAAGACCAATAAAAACAAAGGATTTATAGAACTGTTGGCCAACTGAAAAGTATGAACATGAAAAGTATGAGCATGTACAGCACTCAGTATTTAGTTGGGCCTCCTTTGGCCTGTATTACTGCAGCAATGCGGCGTGGCATGGAGTCGATCAGTCTGTGGCACTGCTCAGGTGTTATGATAACCCAGGTTGCTCTAATAGTGGCTTTTAGCTCTTCTGAATTGTTGGGTCTGGTGTATTGCATCTTCTTCTTCACAATACCCCATAGATTTTCTATGGGGTTAAGGTCAGGAGAGTTTGCTGGCCAATTAAGAACAGGGATACCATGGTCCTTCAACCAGGTACTGGTAGCTTTGGCACTGTGTGCAGGTGCCAAGTCCTGTTGGAAAATGAAATCTGCATCTCCAAAAAGTTGGTCAGCTGCAGGAAGCATGAAGTGCTCTAAAACTTCCTGGTATGTGGCTGCGTTGACCCTGGACCTCAGAAAACACAATGGACCAACACCAGCAGATGACATGGCACCCCAAACCATCACTGACTGTGGAAACTTTACACTGGACTTCAAGCAACGTGGATGAAGTGCCTCTCTTCTTTTCCTCCAGACTCTGGGACCTTGATTTCCAAAGGAAATGCAAAATTTACTTTCATCAGAGAACATGACTTTGGACCACTCACCAGCAGTCCAGTCCTGTTTCTCTTTAGCCCAGGCAAGACGCTTCTGACGCTGTCTGTGGTTCAAGAGTGGCTTGACACAAGGAATGCGACAGCAGAAACCCATGTCTTTCATACGTCTGTGTGTGGTGGTTCTTGAAGCACTCACTCCAGCTGCAGTCCACTCTTTGTGAATCTCCCCCACATTTTTGAATGGGTTTTGTTTCACAATCCTCTCCAGGGTGCGGTTATCTCTCTTGCTTGTACACTTTTTTCGACCACATCTTTTCCTTCCCTTCGCCTCTCTATTAATGTGCTTGGACACTGAGCTCTGTGAACAGCCAGCCTCTTTAGCGATGACCTTTTGTGTCTTGCCCTCCTTGTGCAAGGTGTCGATGGTCGTCTTTTGGACAACTGTCAAGTCAGCAGTCTTCCCCATGATTGTGTAGCCTATAGAACTAGACTGAAAGACCATTTAAAGGCTTTTGCAGGTGGTTTGAGTTAATTAGCTGATTAGAGTGTGGCACCAGGGGCCATCAATTTTGAACCTTTTCACAATATTCTAATTTTCTGATATGATGAATTTGAGATTTTCATTTGTTGTCATTTGTAATCATCAAAATTAAACAAAATAAACATCTGAAATATATGAGTTTGTATGTAATGTATGAATATAATATACAAGTTTCACTTTTTAAATGGAATTACTGAAATCAATCTACTTTTTCATGATATTCTAATTTTATGACCAGCACCTGTATCTCCAAATTGATTCTTTCCCACACCCGTAGCGAATGATGGGAAAATCACTATAGCAACCAGTACGACAACAGTGGGGGGTACAAGGAAGAAAATAACCTTAGAAACTATTTTAAAGAGGGGAATTACCATAGCAACCACTTTATTAGTCACAAAAGAAACAAACTAACTATCTTTATTATAATTTTAACGAGGCCAAAAAAAAAAAAGTACTTCTTGAAACCCATTTTAATCGAACTGATGCTAATGGCTCCTGTTCAGTCAAATGTCAGCGATTGAATGTTGGGAAGATTTCAAGACAATTAGAACTAGATGTGAGCATAACATTTTTTGCACCAATCAAAACCATCAAATATTTTTCCCACCTTCTTTGCATAAACCAAAATCTGCAATCCTGACGTATCCATCAGCATCCATCAACAGGTTATCCAGTTTCAGATCCCTGAAAGAAAGATGTGAAAACATGCTACAGCTAACTCAGATCATTGAAAGAGGAGTCCGGAGGCAGTTCTCACTCACTCACCTGTAAACTATTTTGTTCTGATGGAGGAACTCCAGACCGAGCAGAACGCACGAAGAGTAGAACCTGAAACACGATGAGAAGCCAAGCTGACACTTGCTTGAACCATGTGGTGGAACAGAAAAGTGGGACATGTCTGCTTACAGAGTTTGTTTCTCAGAGAAGATGTTGGTGTGGATGTGCTTCATGAGGTCTCCTCCTGGAGAGTAGGCCATCACGAAGCACACGTGGTCTGCAGTCTGGAAACAGCCGTGCAGGTTGACCAGGAACGGATGACGAGCCGAGTTTATCACTTCGAATATACGCTTTTCACACATGAGGCTTAATGTAAACAGAGTTGGGGGTTTAATCACATGGAAAAGGACTTTCTACTTTTTCTGTCATAGAATTTAAAGAAACAGATTCTGTTTAATTTACTTCTATTTTTGGCAGAAGAAAAATGTTGACTGTAACATTTCTAAACAATATAAACAAAGCGCCACTAGGGGCGCTAGACCTGTATCTTACAGGTTAAATGGCCCTGAAAGCAGCTGCCAACAATGACTGCAGGTCAGAAACTTAAACAGTCTTCCTCTGTGTTTTGGAATCTGATAGCATTCTCATTTGGACCAAATTATTATGGAAAATTGAGCTTTATTTTTTAGTTTAATGAAATATTTTGCTTTCTATTATCCACTGCAGTATTGGGAAGTAGACCTACCCGCCATTCCTTCCAACACTAGATCGCCCTCACCTCCTCATAGATTATAAGCGCTCTGATTGAGCCAAAAACTGAGCAGTTTCTGTCAAGGGTTTGTCCCCCATCTTTGCTAGATGAAGTGATAATTAAGACCGGACCAATCGAATTTGACTGACGTGACTACATGACGCGCCCGCAGCTGCAACAACGCTACAGTGGCCCCGAATAAATGGACAATCCTACTGTACAGACTTAACTGCTGAAGAAAGATTTTGACCAGAATATTTTGTGGTCAACAAGTAGAAATCCCATAAGTAAAAAATACTGAATGTTGGCCAGAAAAGTCCCTAATTAGATCACAAATTAAGCACGTAATTGAGTAAAGAGTTACACAGTGTTGCTTTAAATTAACAAACCAACATAAACTATGAAGCCCTCCATAGTTCAGCCACTCAGATTCTCTTCACTAGTTGCCTTCCCACAGCTTGGCACATATTTTTCAAATCACCAGTAACTTTATCAGGTTCCAGTAAATGCTTTAGGAAAGTACTTGGTAAGTTCCACCTCCACCATACGGTGTAGAACTCCATAATACTGTCCATACTTGGTCAGTTGTGGGGAGTGGTGGCCTCGTGGTTGATAGCCTCGTGAGACCATCCTGATCTCGCAAGCTTTCAAGGTTTCACTCGCTAATCAGTCTGGAGACTCTCCGTTAAAGAAAATTTGGAGCCGTTCACCAAACTAACGTCCAATCAGCGTTGGCTTTGAGGCGGGTTGAGGTGTGACGAAACGAGAAGTGCGACAGTTTAGTCTAAAGAACATGGCGGCTTCAGCCGATGAAACTAGCGTTAGCGTGGCTATCGAGCAACTTTTATCGGAATTACAGAGTATTTCTTCACTGAAAGAAGAGCAAAACACTGCTCTGGAGGCTTTTCTCAGAGGAAAAGATGTTTTTGCTCTTCTCCCGACTGGTTTCGGCAAGAGTAGCCTGGCTTGTGGTTGTGTTTTCGTCGTCGCTCTGTTAGTACGTCATATGCTTCGTTGATCTGATTGGTTTATTTGGCCCGTCTATCACCAACATAGGCCAATCAGCTAACCAGTATTTTCGCCCCTTCCCAAAATTACTTCAACGGAAGGTTTCCAGATGGATATGCGGAGCAAATCCATCTGGCGGAGTCAGGTTAAGTGGTTGAGGCAAGGCACTTGGAACAAGAGGTTCTGAGTTGAAGGCCCACTCCCACAGACTGCCACTCTTGGTCCCTGAACAAAGACCTTTAACCCCACACTGCTCCCTGGGAGCCACATAATAGCAGCCCACTGCTCCCCAAGGGGATGAGTTACATGCAGAGAGTTAATTTCATTGCTCTACTTAATTACTTAGTAATGACAATAAAAGCTGGAGGGAAAAAAGTTACTTCTCCATAACCTTCCTGATTAGTTCCAGGTATGTACTCTGTACTTTCAGGAATTTTTTTTTTATTTCCCTTGGAAATTCTTCTACATTTGGGAAGAGAAAATGTTGGGGTCCAACAAAGCTTCAAAGGCTAATCTCCAAGTTCCCAGAAAGGACCGGATGGAAGATAAATAATAAATAATGTGATATTTCAGTGACTAAGACCTGGAATTTCCTCACCTGTCGACTTCATCCCGTGTTATGACGTCACCTTTCTTCAGAGCTTTGATGGCGTACATTTTCCCCGACTTCTTATACTCGGCCAACAGAACCTTGGTTTGGGTTTCAGAGGAGTTGTTTTGTTAGAACCAGTAACCTTCATCTGGTTTTTAAAATTTTACTGCAGAACCAGAAATCTTTCAGAAACCTTTCCAAAGTGGCCTCTTCCAAGGACGGATAAACAATGGAAGTCCTCCATTTTCAGCTCTTCACACCTGCAGAGGAGAACACATGTTCTTGGTTATCATGATGTTGGAACTGAACAGAGAACAAGGAACCAGATCTTTTATATCAGTCAGTTCTAAATCACATCTGGAAAACATGATCAATAAAAAAACTTCATTTTCTTGCTTTATTGAAAAGATGCAGGAATCATCTAGAACTGCTAACTAAATTATCATCTCCCAGCAGTATGTCGTAAATCGGGGGTCTGCAACATTTTCCAAGCCGAGGACCCCAAAACCGATGGCGAGATGGAGCACCAACCCCCTATTTTTATAACCTGAGCCCGCCAGATGAATTTGCTCCGCATATCCATCTGGAAACCTTCCGTTGAAGTAATTTTGAGAAGGGGAGAAAATACTGGTTAGCTGATTGGCCTATGTTGGTGATAGACGGGCCAAATAAACCAATCAGATCAACGAAGCATATGACGTACTAACAGAGCCAATTGATAGATCAAACTCTTGTCGAAACCAGTCGGGAGAAGAGCAAAAACATCTTTTCCTCTGAGAAAAGCCTCAAGAGCAGTGCTTTGCTCTTCTTTCAGTGAAGAAATACTCTGTAATTCCGATAAAACTTGCTTGATAGCCACGCTAACGCTAGTTTCATCGGCTGAAGCCGCCATGTTCAGTCTCCAGACTGATCTGTGAGTGAAACCTTGAAAGCTCACGAGATCAGGATGGTCTCACAAGGCTACTATTTTTATACATTGTGTCCTATAGTCACTCCATTACAGATAGAGTAATGTAACTAAAGTAATTTCTCCCTGGATTATTAAAGTATTTCTGATTCTGATTCCTTGTTGACGGGACAGGTGTTGTGAATGAAACGGTGCCCAGCTTGAAAGAGCTCCTGTGTGTCTCTGAATGTGTGCATTGATGACTGACAGACATCTTCTGCTTCCATTGATATGTTTACTTCAGTGTGTTGAATTCATGTTAATGTGCATTTAAAAACAGTTTAATTAGTGGATAAAAAACTGCAGGGGGGAATATATATAAAAAAAAAAAAAAGTCTAATCATCCAAAACTTTCACGACCCCCATGCAGTACCTCCTAGGGGTCGCGACCCCTTGTTGAAGACATATGTCCTAAATAAACCAGTGGAGAGACTAGATTTTCATGAAGCCCTTAATATTAAATCTAAACTAACATTTATTTATTTATGTTGTCTAAAGCAGTTATGGTTCTGCATCTTTAACGAACCAAATATGTTGAGAACTTGATCTTTATCTCTAGTGTTACAGAAAGCTCCTTTATGACAGCAGAGACTCATAACTGCAGAGCTGCCCTCTGGGAAGAGGCTTTGCAGCGTTCAATGCAGGTCTAGCAGATTCCAAAACTGCTTCTTCCCCACCACCATAATAAAAGAAAACTGAAAAACTGTAAATCATGTCACAATGTCTGTATCAAACTGACCATATCAATGCATTTTTTTGCACCATGTTTTTTTCTCCCAATGTTTACATTTGATCACTGCTGCAATTTAAGAAATGGACATGTCCTGAGAGCTTTACAAAACTAAATTTCCTTTTGTATACACCTGTGTATACAAAAGGAATACCTGTGCTAGTTCTGGCAACAGAATGAGCCGTTTTAATCTTATCTAACATTAGTATATTTATGTTGATATTGACTTAATTACTGTAATGTTTTAACTGACATATACTAAAACTTAAACGAATCTAGTAAAGGGATTTCACAGGAGAGAATGAATATGAACGGATGAATACGAAGCACGTTTTCATGTTCACTGAGATGGACGGACGGAAAAGGAAGAAACATGTATGTAATGCATAAGTTGCAGTAAAGTGATGGAAATTATTGAAAAAAAAATTATATTTTAACTGAATCAGGATGCAACTGTAGCGCCATCTAATGGTCAGAATCAATCAACACACGGTGTAAGTTAAACTCACTGTGGAGGAGGACGAGTGGATGCTTGTCTTCTGGGTTTCAGGCTGCTTTTCCAATCAGGAGACTTTTCCTGAAAAGAGAAACAGTTCAGAAATGTCTGCCTTATCATCATTAAGATCATCTCCACAGTTTGAACTTTAAAACTCTTCGCTCAGACCTGTGAGGACTCTCTCGTCTCCTTCCTTGATGGACGTGGAGATCTACCGATTGGTTCTTCAGAAAAATTCAGCCTGGTTCCAGTATGTTCTCTGAGAAAGAAAACTGTTTTACTAGACAGCTACCAAAACCAAGACAAGATCCTCCCTGCTGCTCCTTTAAAGACGTTCCTGCAGACGTCTGAGACTCTCACCGGGCTGGAGAACCGCTGGAATATGTCGAGCCAGAGTCAGGAGCCGGTAACGGAGGACTCATGGCATCCGGGGAATTGCAGGGAGGCAGGAAGCTCATCATCAGACGGCCCCATGTAGCAAAGTTCATGTTCATCTGAGCGGCGCGAAGGAAGTTCTTTCCTGAAGGAACGAATCAAAAAGAGGCCATTTTGGATACGAGTCCCAGAAGGTCTTTCCTAGATGGACTAGAGTCCTCAAGCACTCATGGTTGTTTAAAAATAAATAAAACTCAGTCCTAAAAGGATTTTGGAATTTCACTGGAAAACCTGACGACGAACCTTCTGCAGATATTGGATCTGATGCAGCATAACATTAATAAAGCTACCATAAGGTGGTTCTAGAAAGCTCTAACAGATCAGGGTGTTAAAGCAGCATCAGCTAAATGTTGGGACCTGTAGTTCTGGAAAGTCCGTACCAGAACTTATTTCTCTCACCAATCAGGAGATGATGGGTTCTTTCCTCATGAGCGTCTTTTTAACTTTAGCAAAATAACAAAGTTGGTGGGAAAATATTTTTTCCAAAAGATAAAAGGAGAAAATTTACCAAAAAATAAAAAATAAAAAACTTCTGAAAACAACAGGAGTTATTCATGAAATTTAATTAAACAATTCCTACCTTTTTCCTTTGGGAAAATCCTTCTCTGTCTTTGGAGTTTAGACGGACGGTCGATGACAGGATTGATGAATGTGACCTGGAAATAAAGTATAAACTGGAGGATTCAGGAGCTAAAATCTTTAATCAAAACATTCAGCTTCTTTATCGTTTTTAGAAATTCAACTAGTGTCCAACCACAAGAGAGGAAATGGGGGGGGGGGCACTCCAGTGGTCACTGAATAAAGGCGAAGACCCTCAGGATTGGTCACTGGTTCATCTCAGGCAACACAGACATAAGAAAAACAACTCATACCCAAGGAAAAGAATAAAAATAATTGATAAATGACTAATCATTTTTTGACAGTGGCAAGAAACCAACATGGACACTTCCATCAGTAACACCTACATTTAAACATTTGACCTGCTTGTTGTGTGGCAACATTGCCAACCATTGCTCCACCAATCAGCTTAATCCAATGTTTACATGAAAAGATTTGTTTTAAAAAAGTCATTAAAATTCAGCATTCAGGTTGTAGATCATTTCTACTTGATTAGAAACGTGGAGAAATACCCAATTACACTCTATGCAGACGATGTGATCTTGGTTGTTTGAATGCATCCCAGAGGTGGGGAGTAATTAGTTATATTTACTTGAAAAATATATACTATTAGGAGCAGTTTTACTGTGCCATAATTTTTTTTTTTTTACTTGACTAATATTCTTGTTAAATATTGCTTCTCCTACTCGAGTAAAATATCTGACTACTCTGTGAGTAATTTGAACTATTCCAAAATCAGGTATACAGTCAATATTAGCAGTGAAAGTTCCTTATCCTGTCCTAACATTTATACAATTTTCATTGTAAGGATTGTTTTGTAAGTATTTTTTTCTGCATGAATTTGTTCTTGTATATTCATGACATTTATCTGTATTCTTTAGGGATTTAAATCTTTCAAATACCAGGACTTGCACATAAAGTCTGTTTGCCAGCATAGTTTATTGACATTAAATCTGAATTTTAGAAGTCAATAAAGTAGCCTTTCTCCTGAATACTTTTGTACTTTTACTTGAGTTAAGAAATATTAAAGTAGTGCTACTCTTACTCGGGTACAATGTTTGGGCACTTTACCCATCTCTGATGTATCCTTTATTTTTACAGGGAGAAAAAGTCCGATTAGAAATGTATTTTCCAAAAGTATCCTGGCCAGGACAGCAGGATTAACATACAAAAAATCCAAAATACAAGACAAATACAAAAAGTATATCGAGGGTTTGGAGCCAGAGGGGCGTAAGTGGCATTTGACCAACTTTACAGGAGAGCGAAAACAAAATTATGACCAAACTTTAATCAACTGTATTTATTAACCTTCAACGTCAACATTGCACCCACATACATACTTGTATTAAGTAGTAGTTCAGTAAACAGATTATGATATATTAAAGCAATTAACATATTGTAAAACATTACAAAATCATAAAAAATAGGTAAAAAAAACAGCAGATACGCCCTTTTGACACCAAGCATATACAGAATTTGTAAAGAAAATAAGGCGTATCTGCTGATTTACATACAAAATATTGGCTTCAAACACTTGACATTCATAAGAAAAACAGTCTTATTTTATTATTTTTGCTATTATTATCATTTAATATTTCATTTATTTAGCCTGGGCGTGGCCAAAATGAGATAGACCTATTTCAATTCTGAGTCATGACAGAAAAAATATGTATTTCATTTAAAACAGTTATTCAGTTAACCAGTTAGTTCACCTTAAAACATTTAAACATGTAAAACTTCGACATTTAATTTTTGACATTTAACATTTAAGTTCTTTAACTCTAACATTTAATTTAATGCGTCATGTTTACACATTCCACTTGTCAACTACACATCTGTACTATCAGTGCCTACTACTTTCAGGGAGTTGTAAAACTCTGCATAGTAATTAGGAATACTCCCATTGGTGCAAAGGGTGAGGAGATCCTTTTTTTTTCAAGGCATTTATGCCTGGGGGGCTTTCATACAGTGAGCTTGGTGATTGTATGGTGCTTGTGGCTCTGGTTGGTAGGCGTACCATCATCTTTTTGAAAGTTGGGGCAGTGACATCATACTTGAAGTAGATTGTCTTCGGGTTTTCTTTCGTGTAGCGGAACCACTTTATCTTCTGCCAATGGACAGCTTGTCCCTCCTCATCTTTTGATCTGTTCTTCACCGTTAGGTTGGAGAGGGATTTGAAATCAAGGAAATCCTTATGCAGAAGCTCATTCACACGGTATGGGTTTCCCTGCCTTGCCATCCTCACCAGTGTGTAATACCCATCAGGGGAGTAGAAGCACACTTTGCGCCTTGCAGTTTCTACTGCAGCATGCACACTGTCGCATTCCATTTGGCTGTGCCCCGACTCCATGAACTTGTGGTCAATTGTTGAGAGAGGCAGCGAGCTCACAGCATGCAAGCACATAGTGCTGAAGGCTGCATTTCTGTTCTGTCCCCCACAAGTGTCTGAGTACAGAACAACATGTTTCACTTGAGGACTAAGTCCTTTAAGGTACATGTGAACACATGTGCTGATCTCAGAAGATCCACGGCCACCTTCCCCCCTCATGCCACATGTAGCAGTCAACATCCTTACAGCCCATGTCATACACGGTGAGGTTGTATGTACTCAACTTTCGTGAGTAAAACAGGCTACTCACATTACTCCATGGAGTTGTCAAGACTTGCTCAAGGTCAAAGGTGACAGCCTTGCATGATTCATCTTCTTTTGCTCTGTTTTTATCAGTTTCTTTCTGTTCTCTTGCCTTGGTCTTTCTTAATTGGTGGGGATTGTATTCCTCACTGTGCTTTGTTTTTTCGTGGTCTTCTAGACGTTTATACCACTCGCAGTTTTTGCATGCGTCTTTTTTAGGAGTATGGAAGGCCATGTTAAACTCCTTGTCAAACACTGACCTATACATACTAAGCTTTTCTGGTTGGATGTTCCACTCTCCACATTTCTCTTTATACAAGTCATACATTCTCATGAGATTTAGAGAACCTTCCAGATACAGCTTGCTTGTGTCTTTTCTGGAGTAGTGAGATTCAAGTGTGGGAAATGAGCGGATGTGTTCTCTGATCTTTTCTTTGCTGCTTTCTGGGATTTTGTTATGCGGTGCATGGCGTCCTTTCTTGCTTGGAGGGGTCATTCCCAAATCACTGTGTGTGAGGGCGCCTGCTGATCGTGCAAACTTCTCTGAAATATCAAGGGTCTTCAAAAAGAAATCCTTGCACTCAATCACTGAAATGAAGAGCAATCTCTGAAGCTTCATCTTCAACTTCATCACTATCCCTTATTATACTGATCAAAATCTTTTCTGCCTCAGTCAGTTCTTGCATGTCTGCAGTTCTGTCACCCATTTTAGCACTGGGCACCACTTGTGTTACGCCCTTTTGACTCTGAAATGCACTGCAGGGGCTGGTATTACTCAGAGCCACAAGGGCGTATATGTACATACGCCCTTGTGGCTCCAAACAGTACTCCACCTTTTTGGTAAGGTCTTTGTTGTTTTATTATTTTATTCAATACAGATTCATTTCTGATTTGTATCTTTGGCCCCACTAGATGGAGCTAATCAAGACCTTTCATTTGATATATAGAACTCATTTTTGACCAAAATGCCACTTACTGGCTCCAAACCCTCGATATATAGTATATATAATCAATTTAAACATTAGGGTAGCTGCAGTAACCAAGTACTTTATCTGGACTTTAAAATGTATTTAAATTTCCCCAAGGCTAACTGTAAATCCACCTGGAAATTCTGAAATTTAAAAGCATTTTTACCCACTTTCATTTTGACCTTTGGGACCTTCTTCAAAGTAATGTCCTGAGAAAAAAAAGCCATAATAACTTCTAGTTCTAGTTAGAACTGAACATAAGTAAACAAAGGAAGATACCCCTAAATTTAATTCATAAATAATTAAAAAACAGTAAAAAAAAGTCTGCAGTCGGTCAGAGACATTTCCCTGAAGTATACAAAGTGCAGTGATGTATTTGAAAGCCTCAGTCGTAAAACTCAAGAAACAGTGATAAACTGCATCGTTTCTTTTTTTTTTTTTTTTTTTTTTTTTTTTTGCAGAGAGAAAGAGTTTATAAGAACTATCAGAACACCAGGTTGAAGACAGACTCTGATCGGATTTGTCTCCATTGGTGCCATCTCTAAAAATCATCAAAGGAACATTCCCAGGTCTCATCCTAGTGTGGACCGGCCCAAGTTTAGAGTGGAACAGCGAAAGAACCAAACCTCGATGAAGAGGATTCCTTGAGGTTCCAGCTCCACACACATTCCATGTCTCTGGTTGTCCAGGAAGTCCTCGAGCCGCAGGAACTTCACCCCGCTCAAAGCCCGCCAGTCTCTCCAGTACACAGCGATTTCCAGTTCCCTAGACTGGAAAAACACACAGTTCAGATATGAGGATCAAGTACAGGAAAACATGGCAGCATCTCATTAGGAAAATGTGGAACTGGATTCCAGCAAATTTTACAATAACTCGGACTTCCACAGGTCAGAATGATGATTTCTACAGCAGCAACACTATAAAAAAAAAGTATTCAGACATTCGCTGGTGAAAATTCTGTCATCCAGGTCATAATCATTCAAAAAAGGTAAAAAAATAAAATCAAATAAAAACTATTCACTGGACTTTGTGCCCAAGTTTGAAGACATTTCGCTTCTCATCCAGAAAGATTTTTCAATTCAAAATGTCAGAAATAGCGTTTATTTCAAGGCTTTATACAGTGGACCAAAAACAAAGCCTTGTTTTGTCTTGGAAAACATGCAAATTGAACCAGACGAACGGTTCCACGCCTTTGGAATGGAGTTCGTTTGGTCTCTTTGTTAGCCTGTAATACCCGATACCTGTCTATGTCTCTGAAAGGGGGGGTCGTTAGAGGGGATTGTTGGCCTGGCTGACAGGCGAGGTGTTCTGTTCCCCTGTAGTGGGATGGTGGTTTGGATGATAGTGGGAATCTACGGAGCCCCCTAGCGGACATGGGGAATTTTTTCTTCTTTTGCGTTACCTCACAAAACCTTTTGCGAAAGTTTTGCGTTCCCACGCAAAACCCTTTTGCGTGGGAACGCAAAACCTTACTTCGGTCAAGTTAGAATGATATTCACAAATTCGGACTTCCGGGATCAATAACTCTCGTTATTGAAACACAAATGGCGCCTCTTTCGTGTCCTCATAGCACAGACTACGTATTACAAGAATCAAAAAGCGTTAATTTCGAGAAAAACGAGCCGTTCTCCGAGCTGGATGTATTACAGTGATCTCTATGTACAGGCAGCGGCCAGGCGAGTGGTTAGGGCCCGTCTGCAAATGGTAATTTGTGCCATTTGTGTTTCAACAACGAGAGTTATTGATCCCAGAAGTCTGAATCTGTGAAATATCTTTCTAACTTGACCGAGGTAAGGTTTTGCGTTCTCACGCAAAAGGTTTTGCGAAGGAACGCAAAAGAAAAAACTTCCCTATGTCCCCTAGGGGGCTCTGTAGGAATCAACTCAATCAACTGTAGGTTTTTGAAAGTGGAAATCTGACTTCATCCCCTCTGTTTAAGCTTGTTTTTTCTTAACACAGATGGCTTCCTTCACACCCCTCTCAAACCACCTGTCCTCTTTGTCCTTTGTCCATAAGGTGTAGCTGTACCAGCTGTATCAACGGGCCATGCGTCTGTGGAGGTGTTTGGTTTCTCCCCACTTTATATCTCTGATCTTTATATCTGAGAAATCAAACAACCTCTACCGTTGCTGTTGAACCTTCGAGGATCTAGAACTTACCATGTTGGGAATAACTTTTCACAGCTTATGTCATCAGCGCTTATTCCCAAAGGTAAAAATATGATCATGTTTCAACAAAAGATATTTGAAAAAGATGTCACAAAAAAGAAAAACCCACTAGAGGAAAATTGCATTTTGGTCAGATTTTTATTTTAGTGATGTGTTATGGAGTGAAAAAGCAGTTGATGAAATGTAATCTAATAAAAAATGCAAGATATCCTATGTATGATATCTGACTTTAAAAAGGAAGTTGGAGCCGGAAGGATTTCCTTCTGGGTCATTGCTGCCAGTCAGTGATGCAGCTGAGTGTCTGTGGACAGACTTGATGATTGCAGATGTTCAATCTAACTGAGCTGGAGATGTTTTATAAAGGAGGACATTAAAAAATGTCACTATGTCTGCAGGCTTGTCTCTCTCAGCTTTGGACATCTTCAGAGTGCGACTGGAACTGAACAAAAAGATGAGGATTTTATTTAGGAACCGTTTTTGAGTTCTTACCCCGACTTCCAGGGTGAACATGTTGTTAAGAGGAGATCCTAGAGGAAGTTCTTATTAAATCTATATCTGCTGAGACGTCTGAACATTTCCCAAATTCCCTCAGAAACCTGGAATCAGGATCCGAAATCTCTTCCAACTAGTTTCACTTTGAATAAGAAGCTTAGTTCTTCTCAGTTTTGTCGTCTGAGATCTGACTGAGGTTCCTAAATTTAATCAAACCATAAAAGTCATCTTTAGTTTCACTGGATGTCAAACCGAGGATCCAGATTCAGACCAATAAGCACAGAACCCTTAAAAAAATGTTTTTATAAATCCAAAACGATGATCAACCCTCCAAAATACAGACAACTGACCCGCTCCAGCTCAGTGGTGAAGTTCTGACCCCAGGCCTCCTTTCCCTGCGGCCTCCAGTGAGTCCGACCCACGATCCGGTTGTCCACCTTCAGCACGGCGCTGACCTCAGCTGAAACACAGCAAATATGAGGGAGAAGGTGAGAACTGATCCGGATTTCATTCCTCAACATTTAAACATCTAAACTTTTCTTTTACATTGGAACAAAAACCAGAACCAGGAGGGAAAGACGTGAGCTGCAGGGTCTGCAGGGAGTTTTGATCAGACTAAAAGTAAAGCAATAAAAACAAGTTTTCCAAATTTGGAACAAACAAAATCCTGATTTTTTTTTTACCAACTGACACTAAAGGAGATGCTGCTTGATTATTGTTTTTATTTTGGAAACATTAAACAAAGAAAATGTAAAAAATCTGATTTGCTGGTTGGATCAGGGAAACTTGGTGGAAGGAAAACCTCTTTAGTGAAACAGCATTCATCCAGAATATTTTCCAACAGAAGTTTTTATTATAAAAAAACTTCCTCTCTATCATTTCTGTTTCGTACAATGGAAAGGAAAAAAAAAAAAATCTAAACATCATCACCACCATTAACATTACTGAACCATCATCCATAAACCTCCAGAGCAAACATCTCAGAAACTGCAGGATTCCCTTACAGGAAAGTTCATCCGACTTCCCCGTCTTCCCGTTGGCACTCCGTCCCGAACCCTTCACCTTCACGGACCTCCCATCCGCTAAGTGCCGGGAGAAAGGGGAGGCGCTGCGACCCGGAACGGACTCCAGCAGGTCCTGACACCCCATCAGACAAACCTCCAAGCGACCTGAAGGAAAACATCAGTTAGAGACTCGAACATCACAGCAACATCTAGTTTGGTGGAGATGATAAATCTATGTGATCCGAGCATCATCTGGGCGGCACCACAAAAAAACAGAACATTCAGGATTAAAACCTTTAGACTCTGGGTTCCTTCATGCCTCCAACATTCTTCTAGAACTCAATTATCAACTAAAGCTTATATCTAAAGAAGACTGGAAGGTTCTGGATGTTTCTGTCGATCGTTTATCATCCTTCACTCACAATGAAGCTAAAATATATCATGATTTCTTATCTCCGTTTCATTTAGTGATAATAATGGATCCGGGTCCAGGTTTTCCTGACGTTCCCGACCCGATTCCACCTCTGAGCGTTCTGGGCTCAGAAGGAACGGAGCAATGATGAGTTTTAGGTGTTATTTCATCCAATTCTTCATGCAAACATCTTTAGGGGTCCAACTGAACCGATTTTTTAACACATGTTGGGTTTTTTAACTCCCCAGGATTCAGCCATGTCATGTCTAGGGAAGGAAACCTTCCAATGTCCAGCACCATCCTCAGATATTGTCCTGCTCTCTCTACACTGGAAAAATGTAAAAATAAGTCATAACAAAACCGGTTAGTAAGTAAAATTTCCAATGAAATGAGAGGATTTAAGTTTACGATGAGAAAAATCCACTTAATTATCTTCTTGGAAGTGCATAATCTAATTTTTCTTATTCTATTGTCAAAATACTATAAATCATTGTATTTACTTGCTCAAATTAAAAGAAAATAATTTATTTTAAGAATTTTTTGTTGAACTTTAGATCAGTTTTTGCAGTTTTAAAACATCTGCACTCATGATTACGTAAATTGGAAGTTAGCAGAAATAGGGAGGCAAAGCTTTGTGCAACAATATTATTGAACTGTCCTGAAACCTGGACTCCCCTGATCTGCTGTCTGCATCACAGGTAAGTCTGAGGTTAAAGGTCAGAGCAGCACACTATCCGAGTGTGAAAATAAGAAATTTTACTCATAAATAGAAGCCGCATCTCTTCCTTGAACTCTTACCGGACAGAGTTAGAGATTCCTGTCAGGAAGAAAATCAGTAAGTAGGTAGAAAACTGGAGAGATGCAGGATTTAGCATTATGTCTTTAAATTGAAAATAACATTTTGAATGGAACAACTTCCATAGAAGGAGAATAACTCCCCAACAACGGTTTGAGGACTTAAATCTGGATGCTTCATTTCCTCTTTCGTCAAATTTCCTACAAACAGGTGGAACACTGATCCGTCTGAGAGGAACCGGCGCTCCTATCCTATCATGGTCCATCCCAGAGAAGCAAACTCCTCCTCTGAGGTTATTAGCAGGATTCATTTCTACTCATTTCAGTCTAACTGGAGCTCTGGATTGGGAACAAAGGTTCTCCAGAAGTTCTACTAGCTGATGGCATAACCCTAAGACCAAAACAGGTCACACTGCAAAACGAGTAAACATTTCTTAAAATAAGTGTTTTTACACTTAATTTGAGTAGGTAAAATTGATGATTGAGTGTTTCACCCTCAAAGGAAAAGTCCGGTCATATTCAGAATTCAAACTTCTGAAAGTTCTTCAAATATGAAATTATACTGTTTAATAAATGATTAGTGTTTTTAAATAAGAGTAATTTTCATTTACATGTTCTTTACTTGAGGCATCCATGTTTGTCAAAGAACTCTACTGCCACCTACTGGTTTGTGACGTCATGGTGCGGTATCGGCTGTTGATCAAGTCCCAGTGCTGTATCTGGTGTTTGTCACAACGCGCTATTATCCAAGTCATCTTGAAAACATTCTTCTTCCAAATGTTGGCTACATATTACTAGGGATGGAACGGTTTATGAAAACCGTCCGAACCGTTCGGTTCGACTGTCTCGGTTCGGTTCGCGTGTGTTTCGTTCGGTTCATGCGCTGCTCCTTTTTCTCATAGGCGAAGCGTTTACACTCCAGAGCAGAAGGTGGCGGTACTGCGACCAAAGCCAACCACCAGTAGTAAACAAGAAGAAGAAGAAGTGAAGCAGCGTAGCCGGGTGAAAAAAATCAGTTGTTGTGGAGAATTGTGTGGGTATGGCGAGTGGGAAAGAACAGGAGTTGGAAGACGCGCCAGCAGCACTTTATAGGTCTGCTGCATGGGACCACTTTGCATTTAGAGTGACCTACGATGACGGCGGAAAGAAAGTTGTGGATAAAAGTGCAACAGTGTGCAAGCATTGTGCAACATGATTTGTTTATGCTAACAGCAACACCACCAACATGTCACGCTAACCCCGAAATCCCACATACTCCATCATCGCTCCGCCCCGCTGCGCTCCAGACCGACTGCACAAAGCAAAGCCTACAGCCTCCACTGAGGCTCCCGTCTGCTCCGAGTTCCTTGGAGATCGTAGAGGGCATGCGCCAGATGATTAAATTCAAAGCAGCAAAACATGCGGAAATGATCCAGGGTTTCCACGGATCATTAAAAATAATTACAATTCATTAATTTTTTGGATTTTTTCATTAATTTCATTCATTTTTATGGGATTTCGGTGTAACAATCAACATATACCGAACCAAACCGAAAACTGTGACCATGAAACCGTGAACCGAACCGAACCGTTCTACACCTACATATTACGTGTTTTTTCTTACAAGTTCAATGGCAAATCCTCCCTCTTCAAGTTGGCAATCCAACGACAAACTCGTCCTTGGAGGATCAGGAATTGGAAAGGTGAAATAACAAATCTTTTTTTTTTTTTTTTCACTTTTTCCCAATGTATTCCAGCATCCAGCTGCCATGCACGTGGGCATTGTCAGTTTCACTATAGCTGTGGTGAATTTCAATGGTGAAGTCCTCTGGAAATCTTCAATAATTGTTGTTGATTGCAGATGTGTCTAGTAGTTCCCATTGATTTTGCTTGTAAAGCAGGGAGAATGGCGGTAGGCTTACCGCACCATGACGTCACTGCTGGAAGATGGCAGGAGGGAGGGGTTACTATATTTGTACAAAAATGGCCGCTCCCAGACTCTGTGATCATGATTAAAATTATTGTTTTGTTTTTTTACTGATTAACCCTAAATTCAATGAATCACCACGAACGTATTAGTTTTAGGTATAAATAATGATCTAACGATAATTCCTTGCTGACTGGACTTGTCCTTAAATATAAGATAATTAGATATAATTCACTCCAAATAAGAGGCTGAAAGTTTTTTCTTCTTATTTTAACTGTAAAATTAAACAGGACTGTTACGCTAATGGACCTGTTAGACTAGCCGGTCTGAAGAAGGACGAAGAGGAGGATGAGGAAGATGACAGAGAGTGCGCCTGCTTCTTCGGCGTTCCGTAAGACGGCGGGATCCCAGAAAGCAGAGTCTCTTTGATTGCGGCGCATGAGGGATGATCCTGAGGAAGCTCATTCAGACGTTTCTGCAGGGAGAGACGCAGGAGGTCCACCTTCTGTGACGACTCCTCCACCCGGGCCTGGGCCTGAGGGGACAGATCACAACCCTTAGGAGAGCAGATCGGGTCAGGGGATCCTGGATAATGCCATGGAAGCATGGGTGGTTCTAGACAGGGGCCAAAAGGGGCCAGAGCCCCTGTGGAACTGTTCCTGGCCCATGTACTGGAAGTATAATAAATCAGTTTCTTTTACTGGGATACATGATAGGGGATGAAGTTTTAGCTTGTGTCGTACTTTACAGTACATCAATAACAATGTAATAACATGGTACCAACATAGCAAGTTACACTATATTTATAGGTAACAAGAAAAACTTTATGAAGAATTTTGGTAATTGTTGTGCTTCAAATTTTAGGCAGACAAGGTAAAGTCAGAATTCTTAGATTTCTAACCGTTATTACCAGGTAACTCATTAATTTCGCAGACAGACATAAATTAATGAGTTATTATCTGGTAAAATGCAGTTTATTACTTGGTATATAACAAAAAAACAATTGTCTTAACTCTTATTTATATGTAACTCGAGTTCAGTTTTATAATGCTTTATTTACCTGATCAAAAGTTCCAATTTAATTTGTAAGCCATTAGTTGCCAATAATGGAAACTATTACGCGGTGACCTAATGGTAATTATCCACCAAATTCTCCATTGTTACATAGTCGCATACAATTGTAATAATTGCATGCAGGTTATTATGTTGAAATTATATAATGGAAGAAAAACAGTCTCATTGGAATCTGCTTTTTTTTTTAACACCGAATTTTAAACACTGAATTTTTTTAGACATTGAATTCCTTACACTCAATTTTCATCTGGTAAAAATTCCCCAGAAAAAAAATTCACCTACAAAAATTCAGACGCAAAAGTGTTGACCTTTTGGTGAACTCAAGCCAAAGCTATCTACACTCGATAGAGTCGAGCAGCTTCTAGCCAATGAAATTAGCTCATTTGTTCGCGTGACACAACATCTGGGCTCAGCGCTGTTCCCGGCTGAATGAGGATTTTTTTTTTGTTAAACAGATAGAATTACAAAACTTCAGTTAGCTACTAATAGACACCTATTAGAGCAGGGGTCACCAACGCGGTGCCCGCGGGCACCAAGGGGCCCTCAAGGACCGCATGGGGGGCCCTCTTCGTCTTCTGAAAACAGAACAACTCACTCAGTGGGTTAAGTTGAAATGTTTTTTTTATTCTGTTACTCTTCTTTTTAATCATTTATGTATTATTTCATCATATTTACGTGGTTTCAAAATGACAATATCAAAATGAAAATAAGAAATGAATAAAAGAATAAAATAAGAATAAAAATGACCTTTTATGCATAAGATTTACTGTAGGTGAACACTGATCCTTCCAGTTCATAGGTCAGTATTGGTAGCCCTTCCTATGACTCGGTAGCCATGAAGTAGCCCTCAGCCTTAAAAAGGTTGGTGACCCCTGTATTAGAGTTTTTCCTCTTATCAGACTGGGTGAAAAAACTGAGCCGATCACAGCTAGTACGGCACCCCTGTCTGTTTGCTGCCGCTATGTTGCCTCTGGCTGAAATGAAGAAGAAAAAAAGTTTGCCGCCGGCCGCTTCTTCCGGATCAAACCAAGAGCCTTTTACAGACAGGGGTGCCGTACTAGCTGTGATAATAGCTGTATATACCCTAATCCTGGGGTAATTAACCAAAAAAAACAGTTCTCGTTACCAAGGACTATAGAGTACTTGCTATGTTATTACTTGGTTTTTGATGTGCTGTAAAGGAAAGCGTTACCTTTCCACCTGTTAGATCAGGAGTCTGAAACCTGCAGCTCCAAAGCTAAAGAAGCTACTTGGCTCATTCCTCAAACCAATGGATCCATAACATTTTCTTGGTCAGCCCCTCTTTGTTTCCATATCCCTCCCCGACCTCGGCAAACTCCAACCAGCTGGGGGTTATTTTAAGTAACTGCTGAAGATTAAAATTAGAACAAGAAAAAAAAACAACGCAGCGTGCCGACACCAACCTCAGTCAGTACTCTACGCTCCTGGATCTTCCGCTCGCTCAGCTGCCTCACCACGTTCTTCGCTCCTTCAGCCACGGCAGATTCGATACCCATGCGGTGCATGAGCTCAGTAACTCGCAGCTCCAGGGGACTGATGACCTCCTCGTTGGGACCTGAGGACAGGCAGTTTAGAACACTGACCTGCAACAGTTTGCTAGACGCTTTGAGAGATTTATGGTTTAACTAAACATCGGGGAAGATTTTCACTGGTCATAATGTTCTGGCTGATTCCGGCTTATCGAGGAATTTAGACAATGTGATGGTAGGAAACATATTTAGGTCTTTAAATTAATCCAGAAAGCAGGACTGGATAAACTGTTAAGAGGGAGTTTTTCCTCTCCACTGTCGCTAGAAGCATGCTTCATTTGAGTCAATGAGTCGATGCAATCAACTGGTTTTCCTTAGATAGAAAACTTTAAATCAATCTGACTGGATGATCTGGTGAACTGGAAAGTGCCTTAAGATGACATGTGTTGTGAATTGGCGCTATAAAAATAAACTGAATTGAATCCAGAACAGAATATAGCTTCAGTTTGGACCCGTCGGCTGCTGGATTTACCAATCGACCCGCCTCCTTCTCGGGCCTGGCTGACTTTAATGATCTGCATCCTCAGCAGCTCGATTTTGGTCCGGCTGTCCTGTAACATCTGCTGGGCCGTGGCGAGCATCTTCCGGTCCTGAAACAAAAAAAACGGATCAAGTCAAGGTTCTGATCCACTCAGAGAGAAGCAACAAGAAACCAAACTAGCTGCGGCCAGAGTCCTACTGTAAGACCTCCAGAGTTTTCTCTGACTCTATGAAGCTGAGAGCAATGCTGGGCTGCCCCTCCCACACCCATTGCTGTGCACTGATGGTCAGCTGGTTGAAAAAAAAGGCTGCTAACCTTCCATAAACTGCACAAAGATAAATTCAGCTCATTGGAAAAATATAGCAATAAAAAAAAATGTTGAGGAAACTAAAACAGCGCAACTTATCGATTGTTGAGAGCAATGCAGCTTTAAAATATTTTTTATAATTTATTTCTGTTTTAAAAGGGGATTAACAAATTTTCCGGATTATAGTGGAAAACTTAACTGAAAGCACAGGTTTATATAAAAGGTATACACAGACTAGAAATGAGATTAAACATGTGGAATAAGACAAAATTAGGAAAGAGTTCAAGGATATATTTTTTGAGATGCATGAAGAGTAGACACAGATGGAAAAATAATGTCTGTACTGTAGGGAAACTTATTGATGCATTCATTAGACAAAACATTACACATGAAAACCAGAGGGAACTGGGAGTGAACAAAACAATAATGGATGATTTAGGGCAGGTGTGGGCAACCTGCAGCTCCCTGGAGCTTTTTAAAAAATGTATTAAAATGCAAAAAGATGGATTGTTTTGTTTGTTTATTTTAATGTGGTGTGCAGGAGGTAAAAAAAAACATTAATGTTTTCATATACTGTAAGAATTTGTATAATAAATAAATTTAAACAATAAATCTTAACATTCGTGTCAACAAAGATTTGCATGATAGCCTGTGACACGTTTCGCGGTGCCAGGTTGTAGACAAAGCGGCGGGTGTGTCTTGGGCCATGAATCCAAAAGACATAAGTGAAGTTGGCCCCCCCCACCTTCTGCAAATCAGACAAAATTAGTGTCAAACGTTTGTGCTACGTTTGTGCTGGTTTGGATTTGAAGATATTAATGAATATGTAAAGGTCAAAAGGTCAACCAGCCCCCCCACCTTCTTCAAATTAGACAAAATTGGTGTCAAACGTTTGTGCAGCAAAAATTTTCCTTTGTGCCGCTATCGTTTTAAAGATATAAAGAAATATTTCTAGAGGTCATCAAAGGTCAACCAGCCCCCCCCACCTTATTCAAATCAGACGAAATACGTGTCAATTAACTCAGCTCCATTTGTGCTGGTTTGTGCAGCAAAAATTTTCGTTTGTGCTGCTTTGGATTTGAAGATTTGGAGAAAGTGGGGGGGCTGGTTGACCTTTTGACCTTTACATTTTCATTAATATCTTCAAAGCCACAGCTGCACAAATGAAAATTTTTGCTGCACAAACGTTTGACACTAATTTTGTCTGATTTGAAGAAGGTGGGGGGGCCAACTTCACTCAGGTATCCAACAGAGGAAGAAAAAGGAAGATACCTGATGAAAATAGAGGATTTAAAGAATGGAGCGAAACATCTGCTTTCATCATCAGTCAGGAGGGATTGCCTGCATTTTTGCTTTGAAAGAGAAGTTGTCAAAAAATAAAAAGAGTAATTTGGAAAAGCGTTTCCAGGAAAGGCTAAACATGCAGCTGACCACAAAGTTGGGAATGAGAAAAAAAGTGTGATTGCAGAACTTCCAGATAAATTAGAAGAGAGCAAAGATAGTTTTAATAAGTGGATTGCATCTCCTAACTCCACTACTGCTGTTAGTTTTGTTGAAAGTATGAAAAACCGTTCAGAGATCCAACAGGGAGCGCTCTGATGCAGCGATGGGAACTTTCTTCTATTTTTTACCCAAAATCCTCAAGATAAATATAACAATAAAAACATTTATTTCTTTATAATGTTTCTATAATTTCATCAATGCAACAAAACCTAATAAATTAATATTGTAATGGAATTTAGACTAAAAGCACCGAATATCGTACAGCAGAGTAGTCACATGATGTGAGATTTGCTCCAGGATTACTCTGCACCACGTTTTATTATAATGGGCTAACACACTTGGAGCCCGTGATGCAATTTGATGCTTATTTAAGACTTTTACATTTTTGTGACTCCAGACAGATTTGGATTTTTATTTTCATTTTGGGTGAACGTGGTTCTCTGAACAGTTTCAGTTGCCAACCTCTCATTTATGAGGATATGAGCTCATAAAGCCATAAAGATTGGGAGACAGATCTGGAATGATTATTAAAAGAGAAAGCAAGAGGAATTTTTTTATTTTATTTTTTTTAAGAAATCCATTAAAAATCTTCCTTTCTAAGAGTACAATTACAGATAGAAGTTGGAGTAACTGTGGCATAATTGGTGGCTGCTAGTTTTCCCAGGTTCAAAACATCCGAATCAGATGATTGCAGTTCAGCACAGCCTGATAATACACTATCGATTGATATCAGGTGTGTGGCAGCTGAAAACATGCAGGGCAGTGTAACATGATGACCAGGAAAACACTGCCTTAGAGGCTCCGGTCCATCTTGGCTTGAAACCATCAGTGTGCTTTAATTTTGAAAGGAAACAGGAAGTTTCCTCCTTTCTGGGTTCAGTCTTTTCTAAACCATAATGTTTCCATGTCTCACCTTGAAGGAGCTGTTGGTGTAGGTCAGAATCATGTTCTCAGCGCCCTGTTTGACTTTGGTCTCCATCGTCAGCTGTTTCTTCAAAGTTCTGACCCGACTGGCCAGCGGTGATGTCACTTCCTCCCACTGACACGACTCTAACGACTGTTTCTCCTCCTTCTCTGGAGTCGCAGCTTTAAAACAGACAAAAAAATCATTAATAAACAAGGTTTTCCCTTAAGGAAGCTCCTAGTAATTTATGAGTGGTGCTCCCCCTATAGGATCTTTTAGAAATAGCACTCTCATTAACACCATTCAGGGGCCCCAGCTCACAGCTACAGTGCGCTGTCACTATCAAAGAAGCTGGAAGACGCCCATCAAGATGAAACTTTGGCTTATTTAAGAATTTTATTTATTATTCAGCTAATTTTGTGTTAAATTAAACTTTACTGCTAAAAGCTAGACCTTCCCAATTCACAGCGGATCACTTCCAGCCTTCACTGCCTCGTTCCCAATACCTCCAGTTGTAGCTTTTAGCTCCTGTTCTTAGCTCTATGTCTTCACCTTTCACTGGGTCAACAGTTAGATCTCTATCCAGTACCTGCATGGTTGTCCTTCTCTGTAGCCATGGACATGGCGTTGAGTTCCTGAAGCTGCCAATGCAACTCCTCCAGCTTCCGGTTGGACGCCTTCACCTCCCCCTCCACGTCGGCGGCGCCCCTCCGGCTGGTATAGGCCCGTCTCATCCTCTCGGCCGCCTCCTTGATCTTCAGCTCCAGCTGGATCTCCTGCCTGACCTGCACCCGAGCATTTTCCAGCTGCTGCTGGAATTTCGGGTCCAGGATGTCCAACTGCTGCACTTTGGAACTCTAATGGGAGAGGGGGGGACCAGGAGAATCTGTTAATAATTGAACTTTATTGATCTCACATTGGAGAAATTTACCTCTGCATTTAACCCCGCGTTTCTCAAAGTGTGTGGCGCGACCCACTGGTGGGGAATTGAGACGTGACAGGTGGGGCGCGCCAAGTTCCGGTGTGTGTGTGTGTGACTATAAATGTAGAACGTGTGAGAGCAAACTGTCCTTATAGCTGTATGTTGCCGCTTTTTAGACCAATCAAACCCACAAAGTAATCATTACTAGCCTACATGCAGTCTAATTAAAAGAACATTAGATATGAGAAAAATTTCACCTGGAACTGAAGTGCCAAAATAATGATTGACGTGACGTCGGCATATTATTTGTAACGGAATAAACTTTCGCGCCCCAGTGTTGCCAACTCAGCGACTTTGTCGCTATATTTCAGACCCCTCCAGCGACTCTTTATCAAAAAAGCGACTAGCGACAAATTAGCGACTTTTGGAGACTCTTACGTGAAAGCACGTATCGTTCCTTTTCTTGTCCTCCAGCGGCAGGTGCTGCCGTGGGGCGCCTCCTCCATCCCAACCCTGTTCTCCCTCTCAGCGCTGCAGTCAGAGACACAGCATGTTTACCCTCAGCGTCCAGACTGCAAATAAAGCGCACATGCGCCGGAATTGGCGGCGCAGGTTGATCATAATTAACTGAATTTGAAATATTTTATCTTAAATAAATAGGACCAGTTTATTGAAATGACGTCTGACTCCACCCTGAGGCTCAGGTTTAATGCTCAGACTCATAGTGAATTCTGGTTTGGAGTGGAGAGGGAGTTTCCACTCATCGGGCAGAGAGCTGTGTGCATTCTTCTTCCCTTTGCCACATCATATCTCTGTGAGATGGGCTTTTCAACTGTTGCTTCACTGAAAACAAAATACAGATCTCAGCTGAACATTGAGCATGACTTGAGAGTGGCAGTATCAAGCCTGCAACCCCGTTTTGAGAAACTGTGCAATGCAAAACAGGCTCATTGCAGCCACTAATGCAGGGATAAATAGACCTGTATTGCCAGATGGATTTCACTTCTTTTCTTTTATTAACAGATTGCAGAGTGGCACTTTAATTTTTTCTATCTTTGAGCTTGATACAAATTTTGACACAGCTGCCTTTTTATTTTCTTTATTTTTGAGCTTGCTGTTATTTGATGTAGATAGTTTGTATTTAGATACTACTTGTTACTTCAATAAAATTGGAACATTTTAAGATTGTTGCATATTTCATTAGCATTGTGTTGGGGCGATGGGGACAGGCGGGGCTTGAAAATTCCCCCTTGTCCAAAGTGGGGAATGACAGAAAAAGTTTGAGAACCACTGATTTAACCCATCCCCTTGGGGAGCAGTGGACTGCCATTGTACGGCGCCTGCGGAGCAGTGTGGGGTTAAGGGTCTTAGTCAGAGAGCTAGAGTGGCAGTCTGTGTGAGTGGGGCTTGAACTCAGAACCTCAGGATTACAAGCTCTATGCCATTCCCACTCCTCCATGCCTGGTTTGAAGAACATTTATTTTTATTTAACAGAACACATCAGAAAAACAACAATAAACCAGATCATGTCCAACCCAAAAGCATTAAACTGAAACAGGATCATATACAATTTAACAGCCTCATAAAACACTAACAGAGCCAGAAGTTATTAATTGACAGGTATAACTTCTATAGTAGACTTTGACTAGGCCACAGAGGTTTTGTTTTGTCTTGTTTTTTCAGTTGGTTGGTTTAAAAACCTATGAATGGCTTTTAAGGACAATGCTGGTGAAGATTCTCAGTCATCCAGGTCAAAGTAATTCCAAAAAAGTCAACAAGAAATCATTGGACTTTGTTTTCCAGATATTTTAAATTGAAAAAGTTCCTGGATGGGAAACCAAATGTCTTCAAACTTGGAAAACAATTGCGTGTGGATTGTTTTATAACTTCTTTGGAAGGATTTTAAGGAAATTTTTACCAGATCTGTGCCTTAATGCAAAGGAACAATTCATGACATTTTGGTAATGATCCAGTTTGAGCTATAGGTGTTTTGCTGCTTGGAGGAGTTTTATGATCTCTGAGTAGTTTTCTAGTTCTTATTATTTCTGAGCCACATTGCTGCTGTGATTGGATCTATTGTTCTGCTGATGACCCGGTTTGGACCAAACTTCAGCTGTTAGATGAACCCACATTCAACAGTAGAACACCATGTTCTGCAGAGATCATGTTCTACTCAGTGACTGAAACATGTACAAGCCCAAACCATCATCCCTCCACCACCGTGCTAATCGATAATAGCACATCAACAGCACATCAACCCAGAAGTCTCGTCCTTCATCCAGAGTCCTAAGTCCTGCTGCCTTCTTGTTTTTAGAGGCTTCCTCCTTCAGAGTGTCCTACAGTCAGACTGAGTCAGTCATGACCTTCAACCTTTAGCCTACTACAGTAACTGAGGCCTGTGGAGTCTGACATGGAGCTCTTTGGTCTATGATCATTTATTCGAGCTTCCTGCTCAGACGTTTGCTTTTGTTAATGTTTGTTTCTATTCTTTAAATGAAGACCTGTGTGACATTTGTTCTGATTGTGTCATTTTTATCATGTAAATGGAAGAAAAACAATATTGCCTCTAAGAATATCAGCAGCACATAACAGGATCAGTTAGACTGATTTCAAAATAATCAATAACAGCCTTAAAACAAACCATTTCAGTTGATCTCTAGTATCAAAATCAAGTTGGACGTTTTAGTATTGTTACAACCCTACTCTGAGGTTGTTGCTTCTAAACCAGAATAATAATGGATTAAGGAAACCAAATAAGTGAGATGAAATCATGATTAATTCACCAGAACAATTTTAAAGGTAAAACAACTATAAAAACAGTATCAAACCAGACATATCCTTAAAGTTATTGAGCCATTAAGATCACAGCACAGCACCAACTGTTTACATTTACATCTGCAATAATGTACTCTAACTGTAATATGCAATTATCTTCCACTGCACTTTAATTTAGATAGCTTCTGGCCAAACTCTAATTATTTTATAGTAAAACCCATCTGTATATACACTGCAAAAAATCTGAATCTAAATAAGTAATTTTTCTTAAAATAAGTGCATTTGTTCTTGAATTGAGGAGTTAAAAGAGACATTTTGCCAATGGAACAAGACAATTTACACTTAAAATAAGAAAACACAATAGCATTGTCTTATTTCAAGTGCATTTTATCTAATTATCTTATTTTAAGAGTAAAAATACTCATTCCATTGGCAAACTATCTCATTTACCTGCTCAAATTAAGGGTGAATACACTTAATTTAAGACATTTTTACTTATTTCTAGATCGTTTTTGCAGTGTATGCTATTGTAAATAACTGTAAGAACCTTTTTTTATAGGAATATCCACCTGTATATTATATTCTGTACATATCCAGCTGTAAATTTAGTTCATAACACTAGTGATCTATATATTATATTCATTATTTATAATAGTATTCATCTCTATACTCATTCAGTAGAAATAACCCACTTCCTTCATTTATAGAACCATTATTTTTCCTGCACTTGCTGCTATTGCACATCTGATTAGACCTAAACTGCATTTTGTTGCCTTGTACCTGTACATGTGTAATGACAATAAAGTTGAATCTAATCTAATCTAAAAAGATGCAGAGCAGCAAACTGACATTTCTTATTGTTTTATAGAGAAACCCAAACTCTGCTCCCTGTTAAACCCAAAAAAGTCCAGAATAAACAAAACATCTTTCCTAAAAGGTTGCATCAGAAGCTTGGAGTAATGCATTTCAACCGTTGGAGTTATGAAAGCAGAGAAAAGATCTGCTCAGCCGACCGGGGTTACATTAACTCATAAAGGTTCTTCTGATTAGGAGAAATCTTTTGTAGATTTTTGACTTTTTTTGGTTTAAAATGCAGCAAAGAGTTGCTAATTTTTTCACTTCAGCTTCTCCAGGTTTAGTAAATAATGACACTGTGGAATCTTTTGATTCTGCAAAAAACGACTTGAGACAAACAAGCAATATGAATTATAATAATGATTGAACTTTATTGATCTCACATTGGAGAAATTTACCTCTGCATTTAATCTATTAACCTGACTCCGCCAGATGGATTTGCTGGATTTGCTCCGCATATCCATCTGGAAACCTTCGGTTGAAGTAATTTTGGGAAGGGGCAAAAATACTGGTTAGCTGATTGGCCTATGTTGGTGATAGACGGGCCAAATAAACCAATCAGATCAACGAAGCATATGACGTACTAACAGAGCGACGACGAAAACACAACCACAAGCCAGGCTACTGTTGCCAAAACCAATCAGGAGAAGAGCAAAAACATCTTTTCCTCTGAGAAAAGCCTCCAGAGCAGTGTTTTGCTCTTCTTTCAGTGAAGAAATACTCTGTAATTCCGATAAAACTTGCTCGATAGCCACGCTAACGCTAGTTTCATCAGCTGAAGCCGCCATGTTCTTTAGACTGAACTGTCGCGCTTCTCGTTGCGTCAAACCTCAACCCGCCTCAAAGCCAACGCTGATTGGACGTTCGTTTGGTGAACGGCTCCAAATTTTCTTTAACGGAGAGTCTCCAGACTGATCTGCGAGTGAAACCTTGAATGCTCGCGAGATCAGGATGGTCTCACGAGGCTATTATTCTATCCCCTTGGGGAGCAAAGGGCTGCCATTGTGCGGCGCCCACGGAGCAATCGGGGGATAAGGGTCTTACTCAGGGACAGTCTGTGGGAGTGGGGCTCGAACTCAAAACCTCAGGATTTCAAACTCTATGCCCCAACCACAAGGCCACCACTCCCCACTGGCCACACCGAATGAGTAACACTTCCGTTTATCTCCAAACCAAGATGGAACTAAGGAATGCATAAGTGCTACATTTAAATATTCAAATAGATGCAAACAGGGCGTTTACAGGATTCCACTCTCTGCACTGAGGAAGTTCAGAACATGAGCTGAAATAAAATCTCCAAAATAACAAAAAACTGACTTAAAATCAGTTGTCCGTCTTCTATAGATTTCTGTATCATGAATCACAGACAGGAAAAGTGGGCAGAACCTGATCTCCTCCATGCAGCATAGCACAGAGGAGAATAAAAGCTAAAGGAGCCCCAACCAAACACTGAACTCTGATACCATACAGAACATGTTTGGTAGGCCCATCTTTATGGAATCATTTTTTTTTTATCATGTATTTTATCACATATGGACTTATTATATCACAGGTTTTTTTTGGCACCACTTTATAACGATAAAAGTGATGATAAACTAAACTATAACGTCTTTCTGAGCTAAACATTGAATGCAGCCCACAGCAGAAACAGTCCCTCAGACACAAATACTGCCCATAAAAGAAAAACCCATTCAAAAACAGTATTCTTAAGGACACTTATTACATGACGGGGTTCTTTATTTGATTACTATATGACACATAGTAACATTATTTAATTCAATTCTTCTAATTCGCCACTGTTGGTAATAAACTAATTTTTTATATGGGGGCCACTTTGCATCATCAAGTCCTTGAAAAGGCCGATCACAGCTCTAAAAATGAAACTTTTGTTCTCATCATTTCATTAACAAGAGCAAAATACTCTGATATTATCGATATATTTCAATTTATTTTGCAGCTTTAAATTTGTTGGGTACTTTAAAACAACACAGGTGTCTACTTCATGACATTATGTCTTTTTTTGGCTCCTCAGGGCCAGATAAGTTGCTTTGACGGTACGGATTTGGCCCTCAAGCCTTGACTTTTATGCTTTTTTTCTCTATAAATAAATAAACTGAAAAATAAAGGGAAAATAAAACTGATGATTCAGCTATCTTTGAAGCTTTTAAACATTATTGATATCATATTCATCATAGAAATCAGGTTGATTCAATTATTATGGTAAATATATTTTTTAAATGATGAAAGTCACAATGAAATAATTAAGATTACCATTGAAATGTTTAAAATAAAATTTAAATGATAATATAAATGCCATTGTGAAAATTTATGTATTTGAAAATTAATAAATATAGAAAAAAATATATATATTTTTTTATGGGGTTGCCAATTTGCAGCAATTATTGTTGGGATTCCAGGCTAAAATAAATTGGGAACCCAGAGTTTAGACGAATCAAAACAAAAACTCAATAACCAATATCCCCCTACATCTAATATTACTTTCATGTTAATAAATGAAATATTGCAAACATAAAGCACTGCTTGGATGCTATATTTGACTGGTTGAAATATTACAGGCACTGCGCAGTCAACTGCTGATAGGCCTTCATCATCATTTCTGCTCCAAATTGATTTAGATCTAATCGGAAACATTATAAAATCCAGATGGAAAACTGGCGACATTGTAAAGGTAAGAAATAGAGCAGCCAGGAAATCTGGGCTTACATTACACATCCGCCTATTGGGTTTTCCAAGCTGTAGTCCTTAAAATATTTTCCCTGGGAACCGTTTTCCCCAAACATGTTTTCCTTCCACTAAACTTTCAATTGATATTCTTGAATACAGCTCTGGTTGAACAGCCAGCTACTTCACCTCTGACCTTTTGTGACCTCCTCCACAAAAATATTTCACTGATCTTTATGAGGAGGATGCAGACCATGGATGGATCATCTGATTTTAATGAGATTATTTTTTTCACCAATTGTTTAGATCTGCTGTAGCTAGCTGTGGACCTACTTTAGCCCTGGCTTTAGTCCTGTTTATATCGACTGGAGTCTGGTTCTACTCCTGGTTTAGTCCTACTTTAGCCCTGGCTTTAGTCCTGGCTTTAGTCCTGGCTTTAGTCCTGTTTACATCGACTGAAGTCTGGTTCTACTCCTGGTTTAGTCCTACTTTAGCCCTGGCTTTAGTCCCGTTTACATCAACTGAAGTCTGGTTCTACGCCTGGTTTAGTCCTACTTTAGCCCTGGCTTTAGTCCCGTTTATATCGACTGAAGTCTGGTTCTACTCCTGGTTTAGTCCTACTTTAGCCCTGGCTTTAGTCCCGTTTATATCGACTGAAGTCTGGTTCTACTCCTGGTTTAGTCCTACTTTAGCCCTGGCTTTAGTCCCGTTTATATCGACTGAAGTCTGGTTCTACTCCTGGTTTAGTCCTACTTTAGCCCTGGCTTTAGTCCCGTTTATATCGACTGAAGTCTGGTTCTACTCCTGGTTTAGTCCTACTTTAGCCCTGGCTTTAGTCCCGTTTATATCGACTGAAGTCTGGTTCTACTCCTGGTTTAGTCCTACTTTAGCCCTAGTTTAGTCCTACATTAGCCCTTGTTTTTTGCGCTATAAATAAATGTAAAAATAAAGGTAAAATAAGAACTCTGACGATTCAGGAATTTTGGAAGCTTTTCAACATTATTGATTCATTTTTCATCGTTTAAGTCAGGGGTTCCCAAAGTGGAGGTCAGGACCCCTGAGGTATAAGGAGGGCCAAAATCCATCATGAAACACAGATTATGTGAACACATTACATTTTAAATGGTACAATTTATTTAAATCTATTCAAACATTACACTAAATATGAAAGTCACAATGAAATAATTGAGATCCTCCTTGAAATGTTTAAAATAAAATTAAAATTATGACATCCAGGCTGAAACCCCCATGGATGGATCATTTGATTTAATGAGAAGCTTTAGACCAGAATAACTTATTTTTTTCCCAATTGTTTATATAAATATACTTTGATTATGTTTTGAATTATTACAAATGTTTACTGAGCTGTACTAAGAGAATGCTGATGATTTTTTATGGCAGATAAACAACTAAATAACTATTCTAATAACTAATTTATCTTTGTTTTGTAATTATTGAACCTCAGAGGTCCATATGAGCCTCAGCTGCTTCTCTAAATCACTCCATGTTTAGAAATAAAGCAAACTAACGCTTAAAGCCTCAAATGTTCCTGCTGAAAACCGAGCTGCACAAAGTTTGGTCCTTCCTTCAGAGGTTATTGTAGAAGTTTCTGTCAGGACACAAAGCCAGATGTGAGGAGGAGAAAAACTGGACAAACAGGAAAGTCCACAGCAGCTATCTGATTCCACCTGGAACTTTAAAGATCCAAACCGGTTCTGATGGGTTCATCCCGCACAGCTGTGAGGGAGGAATGGCGGCGGACTCACCTGAGGAGCTGGGGCTGACATGGCGGTCAGGTGCGCTGAAAACAACCTCGGACAAATCTACCTGCTCAGGTGAGCTGGCCGCCGCTGCTTCTTCCTGAACCACCGATGGAAACAAATCTGGTCAAACCTTTGAATCCGCCCTGACGTCACGGCCCGCTGATTGGCTGAGCGCGAGGACAAGGATGCACCTGCAGCCAATCAGGCGGCAGCGAGGATTGCACCTGCAGAGGGTGAGCAGCGATGCATTCCAGCAGTCTCCTCCCTGCGTGGAAATCAGGGTTTTACCGCATGTCACGGTGTATGTTATACGGCAAGCCGTTTTAATATTAATTCGGTTTCGTCTGACCATCCATAATTACGTTCCAGATGTCATAAAATACATTTTGATTAGACAAAACCACATTTTGACTATCCGGAATGGTAATTTAAGATATCTGTATTTACATTCTGATAAGGAAGAATAATAATTCAAGATATCTTAAATTACATTTTGAATTCCTTTCAAGATATCTCAAATTACGACACCGGATTTGTCATTTAAAGCGTCACACGCTGATTTAACTTTTCCTCCTTTGGATTAAACTGACAGTAAGGAATTTTTTAGGAATGATCCTCCTGGAAGGCCATTAAAAATATCATGACACATTTTGCCTAGTCAGAATGTCAATTTAAGATATTTTCATGGAAAAGCTGAATAATTCAAGATACCTTTCATTCATTTAGAGGTATCTTAAAAGGAATTTCGAATTGTCAAAATTACAATTCAAGTTATCTTTAAATTTGTTTTGTATAGTCATTATTTGCTTTTAAGATATCTATAATATAGATTTCACTAGTCAAAACTGCATATCTCCTATCCTTAAATACATTTAAGATATCATGAATTATGGTGGCATTTGAGATATCTTTAATTTGAATTATGACTAGTCAAAACTAAAATCGAGATATCTTGAATTTACTTTAGGACTAGTCCTACTGTAATTTAATTGTAGATATCTGAAATGTGTATTTCAGATAGTCAGTAATTCATTCTAGATATCTTAAATTGACGTCTTCATACAAGTTAATGGTAAATTTGACATAATTTCGACTAGTCAGAATGTAATTAAAATTGCTATAACGTCTAAGTCATAAAACAATTTGAGATATCTTGAATGTAAAGGCGGTACAACCGAATTTATGTTAACATGGCTTGCCATACTCGGTGTGAGTCACAGTGTGGATCCACCATTCAGGATCTGCAAACTAAACAGGTTGTTCCAAAACACGCAGAGTATTTTAAGAATCATTACTGCCTTGTGAAAGAACCTCACAACATGTTAGTGAAAAGAAATCCCTGGAATGTGATTATTAAAAAAGGAAAAGTTCACCTCATTGTGGTTAGATCTGTTCCTAACATGGTCAGTTTTATTTTCACCAGCTTTAGTTAACTAGAAATGTAACATAAGGGCAGAATCCTCCATATGATCCACACCTGTAACCGTCTGTGGAGCCTGGATACGCCCAGCAGGGATTATCTGACGCACAAAAACACACACAAAGAGTTTAACCTGGACAGGTTTCAAAAGGACATTAGAAACTGAGGATGAACTCATAATATGTCAGCAGACAACACAATAAATGATAATAATAATTTGCAAAAAGCCAGTTTCCACTCCGTAACTATCCTTTTAGAGGAGTGGCTGTGTTCTGTCAGATGAACATACCCGGTCAGACCAGCATACCCATAGTCAATACCCATTTATATCTTTAGTTTATCCTTTTAGTTTTGTATGAAAAATAGACTTTAAACTACTTCAACAGGTTTGTATCCTTTTAGTCGTGTACAAAAAACTATTTAATTTCTTATTTTTTGGCAAGGGCGTAGGGTTGACTCAACCTTGGTAGGGATAGTATTGGTCTGATGTCATTGGTCCTACTCATTATGCATGCTCCTATGTTTTTTATGCTTGACATGAGCATCAGGGTACATTTCGTTTAAAGAGAAAATGTTGGGATCTGGAGGTCTGTCCACTTTCTCCACCAGAGGGCGTACTAGATCTCCTGGAGCCGGAGCTGATTGCTACCACCTGTCGCTCATCTGCTCATCAGGAGATCTGTATTTAAGGAGGCAGAGGACGTCTCTCCAGTGCCAGAGTGTTTGCCAGTTACGGTTAGCAAGCCTGAGCCAACCTGCCTGTCTGAATCTCTGACTCCCTGAAAACCTGAACCTGAACCTGAACCTGAACCTGATCTGATTTCTCCTTTCTGCTTCCCAGTTTGAACCTGCCTGAAACCAGAAACCCTGACGAGTTTATCTGTTGGAAATCTGGCTGTCTGATCTCTGAAGAACCCTGGAGAATCATTCCTGTCAAAGACCTGCCTGCCCGCTCTCTGAAGAATCTAGAAGGGAAACTCAAATCGGTGATCTGCAAACACTCAAACCAAGCTCTGCCTCCGCCAAGCCCTCAGCCTGCCGACAGCCTCTGGACCCTCAAGGTTCCCCCCCTCAGCCGCTAAGCTCAAACTCCAGAACAGGTACAGTCCTGCCCACTCACATCCTGCAAATTACCTGGGCATCCACTAACTCCTCTGTCCCCCTCTGTAGTGAACCCACTCGTGACCAGTCCTGGACCTGATTAACCCCTGGATCTGTTTATTTCTTTGTACGGAGTTATTTCAATAAACCTTTGAACTTTTCTCCTGCTTCAGTGTGTTCTGCATGTGGGTTAGGAACCTTAAGCCAAACATGACAGAAAACAAAATTTTTTGCTATATTTATACAAATTTTATAAGCACTACACACACAAGATGATGTTTATCAATGTTAGGTTCAGAAAATGTAGGTTTGTAAAAGAGAAACTGAGTCTACACAGGAAAGAGATTCAAGCAACTTCTGCAGGAGCGGAAAGAAAAAGCCCAACCCAACTTCAAGCTTTCTTTCTCCGAATCCTCTCCTGCAGCCGTCTTTTATTAACAGAACATAACACATGGTTACAAAACAGTATTTTTTCTGACAGAACAAATTGATCAGTTCATAAAGACAAGATGCTCCACCAGAATGACAAGGCAGGATGGTCTCCTGACTGAATCACAAGACACAGTGGAGCATCCCCTTGCACAAATGTTTCATAAGCATACATTAATGTTATAATCATCATTGAATAAACCTAACAATCAATGTTTGAAGCATCAGTGGCCCAGAATAATGTAAAATTGGGACAACTTAACACTTTGAAAAGGGTAACATTTGAACTTACTAGTGACTAAGACAGAAGGTAAATATGTGTCTTTTTAACAAAATATAGTCTAAATATGTCTGTTTGTGTATTTATCCGGTGTTTTCTTTTGAAGAATAGAATCGTGCAGAGGTAAACAGAGGGAAAACCCTTCTTATTTATTTACTTTCTGATATTCTGTTATTCTCTGTATTGTAAAACAAAGCAAAATAACACATTCAAGGGACTGCAAATAGATTTATTGTATTAACATAGGCGTGGGAACTATAAGAGGAACAGACCCTGAGCATTTAAAATATTGACTTCAATATACAATATACAAAAGAAGCGACTGCTGAAACAACACTGTATTTTAAATGATAAACATGCTGTTCACATAGAATTATTGGCAGGGACAAGTAGGTCGGGCCAGAAGTTTGGTAGGGACATGTCCCTATGGTCCCTATGCAAACCTAAGCACATGCTTTTTGGTGTTTTTTGAAGCATATGACGATCTGACCTTAAATTGTTTTTTGTTTTTCTGCACATGAATAAAGGGAAACAAGCCCGTTGAGGTAGTTTAAAGTCTATTTTTTGTACAAAACTAGAGGGATAAGTGCAAATTTGACGTTTTGCTCATGCGTATTGACTAAGGGTATGTTGGTCTGATGGGGTATGCTGCTCTAACAGAACTGTGGCCTAGTGGTTAGGGCATTGCGCTTTGAATCCTGAGGTTCTGAGTTTAAGCCCCACTCCCACAGACCTTTAACCCCACACTGCTCTCCGTGCCCCGAACAATGGCAGCCCACTGCGCCACAAAGGGATGGAATAAATGCAGAGAGTTAATTTCATTGCTCTGTACTTGTCAGGGTACACTGAAAAAAAAAACTATGCTGACTTGAATCTGATTATAAACAAAAACAAATTTGAGTGTTTGGGTCTGGTCTGTAGTAGGCAGCTTCTGATCAGTGTGCACATGGATGTAATTTTTGGGGGAAGGACAGGGCAGACATGTCCCCTGCACTTTTTCAAATGTGTGTTTTGGTTTGCACGTTTTACTGTCCAAAAAAATTTGTTACGCTACAGTACATGGACGCTTGTCGAGCACTAGGACCAAACTGAAGCCTGCTTCCCTGAGTTTAGACCGCCCACAAGCTCCCGATTTGCCCACCGTCTTTTTCTTGTGTGATTGGCTGTCACCGCTGTCACTCCTGAGAATCTCACTTTATAAACATCTGATGCGCTGTTGAATCAGGTCTTTGATTGGATAGTCAAGCACCCGTTAATTATATTGAAAAATACTTGCCTTCCCCCCACTTCTGAAATCAAAAATTTCGTCCATGGGTGTGCATATTCTGTTCGTTTAAAAAAATATTAAAGTTTAAAGAATATTTCAGTGTCAAACAAACATGCAGTTTAACACAAATGAAGATGGCTGATTGGTCCAATCACAGGCCAGTAATACACTATATCAGAACAGTGTAATTTATACTGCAAATGTAGCAAAAATACAAAAAATCAGTCAAAAGGAGACTGTAAAACAACATGATAGTTATGGCAGTCTAATGATAACAATAGCAATATCAGTTTTATTTGGACTGCATATTCATTGGTGTTGTGTCTCAGGTAATGTTTTAAACCAAAAAAAGAATGATATTTTTATTTGCACTTAAATAGTGGATTAAAAAACAAGACATTTTGCTGTAGAACTTGAGGGTCGGAGATTTTAAGTCTAAAATAAACCATCTTTGTTCTGGGCCTATGATGGTCCAACAAGTTCAACTAACAATCAGGTCTGCAGAGAGACCTGTACAAGTCCCTCCATCCAGCACTGGTACCGCTCCATGGTCAGGTAAAGAGCAGCTAACATCTCTGCAGACCCCACACCTCCTGGACATACAACATATAAAAACATCTGCGTCTGACAGTCTGTACCACAAGACTGTCTCTCTGATTAAATGAATAAACAACTTGCAACATATTTTAATACTAAGGGAGACTGGGCACAATTTCATCAGGGGATAGTTGCAACATTTTTTTTTATCCAATCAGAGACATGCTAGCTTGATAAATTGTTACAGCGCTGGCTCCGTTGGACTTTACTCCTAACCAGCAAGACTAATGACACATTCAGTGTCTTTAAATTTATAGG